AGTTTTATTTAAATGTTTATAACTTCATTAAACTTTTGTACATCGATTTTCTACACATAAGTGAATACTTGGTCCAAAATCCTCTATTCTCCCTATTCCAGAGTGATATCTTCGGCTTCAGTTTAGTTTCCCCTACTTTCGTATGCATCTTCATCTTCCTCCTCACAAGCTTGTCTCTAAACGGTAGGTTTTCGATACCTCTTTAAGTAACTTTTGTAGCCAATACGACGAACTCACTTGCATGTATCATGGTCGATGTACTTCTGCCTGGTATTTCTGTACCCCTGTTTCGAATTTCACTTGCCACTTGCTTTTGTTATTCATTTTTCAGGTTTACCCAACCAGTCCTCCATCCTTATGGAATCCTAGTGGCCTACTTTATCAGCGTGCACTATGCCATCTAAACTTTGTGACGTACGCACACAACCCAAAGTCACGGCTGTACTACCCGCCTTACCCTCGAGAATACCGGAAGACTCAAACAATAGCCAAATAATTCCCATTTTCGAACTAAGCTTGCATCAGCATGATGAACAATTACGTTGGTGTTTGTCTGCTTCATTCTTTACCGTCTGCGAAGCATTAACGTTCTTTCACCAGACGGATCTCTTATGTGCCGCGAGTAATGATATCTAATACACAGCTTGACATTGCATGCAACATTCAGTTCTCGTTACCAGAATGACCAAACCTGCAAACTGGTTTGTTTTCATGTAGCTTATGTTGTGTGAAGTATATTATTATGCTTCATCCATTGGATGGATTCATACAAGACAAAGTACTAGAGAAACCTGTTCCGTATCATTACCATGGATAACTTGCCTTCAGACAACTACAACGTGGCAAGTAAGAAGGCGGTGGGAGAAGCACACCGTGTCTATTCCAAGCGCTTTGATGGGAAAGTCCAGGAGGCGAAATTCAACAGGTATATTGATAGTTATTAGTCATTCAATATTATCCACTAGTGAATACAGAGCTTTCAACAGGAAGAAATCGTAACCGGGTTCACTAGGCAGTATAACCTAAACCTAGGGGGAAGGCGAGTAGGATTTATTGCAAACATTTGATCCAGCGTTGGGGCGCATCAGGGATATCGGTTCTCACCTCGACCAGATAAGTGTCACTTTTGTACAAAGAAAGTCAGTTGCCTTGGTTTTAATGTGAATAGAATAGGAAGACACTTGAATCCACACAGTACTTAAACAGTAAGAGCAATATTCACCATCCGAAAAAACTCACCACCTTGCATTCACTACTGAGTCTGTTAGGTTTTTGTGTCACATTCCTACCGGGTCTTTACCCCATTCGCAACCCACTGAATATGTTGTTGACGAAGAATGCAGGATGGAGTTAGTAGGCCGGCTGTTAGCGGGGATTCGATAAAATTATAAGGTGATAGTAATTATTCCTGAATATACAGGCACACACCGCTTTTACAGGCATGAATAAACTATTATTTGAATTACATGTCCTTGTGCCAGGTAATCTCAACCCCTACCTTTTCTTCCACCAGAGGATATAAGTGCTGCGTACGTGCAAGGTGTAACAGCTCAGAAGAATAAGTGTGCAAACGTTTACGAGCCGCGCAAGTGAGGGTATTGCTTTCACACTGACAAAAACACCGTGGTTTGCGTCTGGACGCTACATGTATTGTCTGCAGACGAAATAAAGCCTGAAGCAGGCGTGTCCACTGTTACGTCTCGTACGTTCTGCTGAAGAATAATGGTGAAAAGTTCGTGAGGAAATACATGCAGGACGTTTACTTGTTGTACTTTACTGCTGATTCCAGAATTGTGCGATTCATGTTCGCTCGTACCAGTCCTCATCAAAGATTCATAGTCTTGCTGGATATTATGACTGAGAGCTAGTTATCCACATTTTTCAACTCCAGCATCCAGAAGTAATAGTGCTGTTTGAACTCGCCAAGCGGAGTTCTGGAGCGTCTTGCCTTGACAGCCTTGAGGTCGGTAGGTATCAGACTTTCCTGGTCATTTTCATAACCAGTAAATCGTAGGTTTTGATAATTATGAAGCTGTGGTCCGGAGAACATTCTTCGTCGCTATCTGTCATTGTTGAACACTGGGAATACGGTAACACTTTGACTACCCCTCAGTTTCAGGCAACGTTTGTTCCGTTGGAAATTCATTTTCAGCAACAACCAAGCCAACATTTGGAAATGAGCTGCTTTTCTACAACAGAAAAAAGGAACAGTCAGAGAAGGAAGCGAGAACTTTACCGAGGGTTGTGATTTCCATGTACATGTTTCTCCTTACCTAGCCGTCTTTGCTATGATGTCCGTTGTAAATTTCCTGCTGTTATATGGTTTTGGACTTGAACCAATGTTTACTTCGTCGGGTTCCGCAGAATGTGCAGTGAGTATGAGGTGATAATTTATGGAAGTCTACACAGCGTTTCTTATGAATGGTCACTGAGGGTGAGGTAGATGGCTGACTAGACATTAAGAGGCCCTAGTATACGGAGTGTCATAGAGGGTAGTATTCGTGCACTCAGCAAGCCAGATAAGTTACCGGATGGATGGTAATAGTTTAATTGGTGACCGACTAAATTCGGAGGCTGATTTGGACGCCTTCACTTTAGCAGGAAGCCTGTTCCCTCATCTGAGGGAATTTCATCGTGAAGAAATTAGCACACAAGCAGGATTTAAACGGGTTCGTTGTTACGCCATAGACATGGTTGCGCAGATCTTGACAACCATTGTGTACGAATTGAAACTCATCACTGGCCGTTAGAGGGAATTTGCGTAGCACATTGAAGAAGAGTATCAGGTTAATTTTGAGTAGCCCTGCCCAAAGTGGTTCTAGATTTGCTGTCCTCCGTATTGAGCCGTAGTCCTATGTGCAATCGTATCCTGTAACTAAGCTGTGACGTGAATTTTGACGCCCCCTATTTTTGGTTTGTCTTTAACGCGTATTCCGCTCAATTTAAATGGACCTTTATTCTAATAATGGAAGTACGCAAGTTTCATGTAGCGGCGATTTGGCGTTCCTGAGGTGTAAGTCGCGAGTTAAGCGACCCAATAAGAGTCTGTGATGCAACTAGCTGAGAAAATGTGAAGTCACCTGAGTGTCTTAGCTCCAGGTCACAGACAATTAAGAACAGGTAGATTCACAGACTTAAGGTGTAGTTAGATGTCCACCGACGGAGCAGAAAAACGCATCCACCCACATCCGCTGTCTAGACCAAGGTTTTCAGACAGTGGATCACGCGGATATTATATCAAGCTCCCCTGAAACCATGCTTGGAATCGGGATAAATCTGTAATAAGGAAAGTTCATGTGACTTTTAGGTCATCGACAAACAAGAATGGCTTGCCGTATGTTAAGCAGCTGAAAATGTCATCTATGTATAAAGTAGAGAGAGCGATACCTAATACAATGCCTTAAACTACGCCGAGCTTGACTGGTGCATGTTTTGAAGTGCTTGCGTCTACCTTCATCATTTGGGTGCCATTACTGGGGAAAAACTTCACTCACCCTAAAAATGTCTGGTCCATACAGACATTAACTTACATTTTGACAGTGGGCGATCAAACATGCCAAACGACTTTGAAGTGTATAGATAAAGCACAGACAGTAGTCGTTCGTCTGATTATCTCAGGCCAGCAACTCACGCAAAATAACACATCAACACCCATTATGCTTGCATTCGCTGCCCAAAAGTAAGATATCGCTGATGTAATAAACCAGGTTTTCACACAATTTCAAAAGCACTGCCATACAAGTTACTGTATACTGACATCCACAGGGGGCATTTGGAGAAAAATGAGGTGGCGAAATAATCGATTTGCCTTGGCAGTCAAAGACAAACAAACAATGAACTCCCAAAAAAAAATATAAAACGTACAAAAGTCGACAGTAAGAAAAATAGATGTTGCACCATTGAGCCCAGCTGCGGGACTCGACTGGTTTTCTTCGATTCTCCACCGTCGAGTTCCAGTTAAACGTAGAAAAACTATGGACCCAAGGATCTGGGACACAATATTAGTTAAACTGGCCACCGATGGTCGCCACAAGACTTCACCTCCTCCTTATGGACTGGAACGATCAGTGAAGTGAATCAGTCTGAAGAGACTACCTCTGATTCCTTCACACTACATAGTGCCTCCGTTACTCTGATCACCTACTTCCTATCTTCTTCCCTAAAGACTTCGGATGGCGAACCGACAGGCCCTGCTGCTCCACACCGTCTCAAGTTAGAAACAGCCATCTCAACCTTGGAAAGACTTAGAGGATCGAAATCTACACACAATTCGGAATTCAACCAGATACCAGGAAACATGAAGCTTTGGAGTTGAAGTAAGTTTCGAAGTATTCCGCTCAACGTCCTAGCCGTCTGTCCTGAAAGGTTATCAGCACTCCATCCTTCTCGATGTGTCACTAACCATCGTCTTTGCCTTGCCAGTATCCTCAATAAGCCTAAATAATTGCCTGTCATTTCCTAATGCTGATGCTTTCTACATCTCTCGATTTCACCACTTAACACTGTTCGCGACCACTGCGAATACTTTTGGTCAATTTACACTTGAGTTGCTTTCTCTCTTCATTGTGGTCAGAGTCGGTTGTAGAGTCTTCCCGCATCAATTAGTTCGGACTGAAGTAGGAACATCGAAAATCTGATAGCAGTAAGATGTCACTAACTCAGAAATGACAACATTTGTCTTGTCCAAAGGCTACTGGTTTTGTTCAATAGCATAACCCACGCATCTCGGCATCTTGGAATGAAGCCATTATTTTACGCATTTTCAGACGTAAAAAGGCGTGTACGAAAGTTCGAAGGGAGAGGTCCTGATAACTACCACTTAAGTAAGCAATGGGTTGGATGCCGAGAGTTCTAACCTGTCTGAGCAGCTTTTTGTCCTGAATACATTCAAAATGCAAGAGAGAACACCAGAAATTTCATATTGGAGATATTTTAGTTTCGAAAAGACCAGTTTCACCAGACTGCAGTCCGGGACTTTCGTAACTAGGAAATTGAAGGCTGAGTAGGAAATTGCGGTGTAACACGTCAGTGCGGTATTTACGAATTTTTTACTTATTGCTGTTTTTAGTCAAACTGTGGTATCTTTTTCGTGCGATGTTAGGCTACTTGTGAAACGTTTTTATATTGTCACAATGTATATATATATATATATACTTGTTAGTAGAACCACTATGTTTTCCCCCGTGTTGCCGAGCCCGGGGCTTATACATGTATTTAGATCGAGAACAATTTTACTGTCGTGGAAGGCATTGTGTCGTCCTCCTTGCTATCCGGAACGGTCAAATAGAACACTAGATTTTCATCTCTGCGATCCCACATTTTCGTTTACCTAATTTTGGGGCACTACGGTGATACCCAGCGTTAGTTGACCACATAGCTGTCATGATAGTGCACTACTGTGTCGTGAAAAGGCTACTATTGTTACAAAAGTTTTATGCGAAAATCGGTTTAGCCACCTCAAAAGTATAGGGCAGAGCTAATAATCCAGCGTCAGAGGAGGGAATGATTGGTATGTTTATAGGTCTGATTATTTTCTTCCTTCCACTATCATTGTCTCACTGTTTGTGCCAATTTATTATAATTGGTGTTCCTCAAAGTAGACGCTGTTTTGTTTGTCTGAAATCACGCATGAGACTTAGATATGTAATTCCATGTTTCATTTTATCTTTTTATACATTGGATGAATAGTTTGCTCTATATGTTGGACTATCTGACCTTGTTTATAACTGATGCAAATAAATAGCTGGCATTTAAATTGATCACGAAATAGCTTCTTGAAGTTTCATCGGTGAAAATTGCCGAACCATGTTTTTCGGATGACAGCAATGTGTAGTTTGGGCTCAGAGCTTCATTCTGCTTTCACTCTATTTTTATAGACTAGAATGGCTCGTACGATCAAAATAGTTCAACCTTCAACAAGGTGCTGCGATGGAGTTGGAATTAGACATGACAGTGGTCATAGCGACGTTGGATTGCAGTGATTTTCTAACAATGAACGTTAGGCTGCCTTTCTGTCTCGTAATATTACTTCTCATCATCTCTTACAAGCATGAAGACTTCTAGTAGTTCATCACTAGGTTTGGTTGAGCATGTAGTTCGCCATTTAAATTGAAGAAGCATTTCACACCTTGATATTGTGAAAAAACCATCGGGCAGATAGATGTAATGAAGAGGAACCATTTCGACTAGTCAGTCGCCATTTGCGTCCAGGCTTCCTGGAACTCACACAGTGTAGAGAGGGTGCAAGGTGTTCGGTTCTAAGTTACCTCGGAAAGCTGTCACACAAATCAAAAATCTGCATATTGAAAGCAAATCAGACAAGCAACAACCGTTAGACGTTATCAATACCGAAGGTCAAAATAAAGGTTGGCGTCGACTTGGTGCAGTAAGAAACACGAAGTGCAGACCCATTTGGTCAGTCGTTTGTCGCCTTCTTCACGTGAGGACGAGCTGTTCTGGCCGGTTAGTCAAGCTAAACTATGTGCAGCATGCCCTATTCTGAAATATTACAACCACAATTCGAGTGGCTGAAAGATGAAATCTCAAATCAGTGCCAAGTTAGTGTCTGGTTTTTCTCAAACCAGACGTTTCTATACACAAATTCCAAGGTGATAGCGACCTGACGAGCATATTGAAAGAGTTTCTGTGAGTGAGTTTTTAACTTAGATGGGCTGCTTTATTGTCTTAAAACAGCTTGCAATTCTGTTGTACTCATGACTGACTGAGAACATTGGGTAGTGTCAGTTATCAGGACCTCTCCCTTCGAACTTTCGTACACGCCTTTTTACGTCTGAAAATGCGTAAAATAATGGCTTCATTCCAAGATGCCGAGATGCGTGGGTTATGCTATTGAACAAAACCAGTAGCCTTTGGACAAGACAAATGTTGTCATTTCTGAGTTAGTGACATCTTACTGCTATCAGATTTTCGATGTTCCTACTTCAGTCCGAACTAATTGATGCGGGAAGACTCTACAACCGACTCTGACCACAATGAAGAGAGAAAGCAACTCAAGTGTAAATTGACCAAAAGTATTCGCAGTGGTCGCGAACAGTGTTAAGTGGTGAAATCGAGAGATGTAGAAAGCATCAGCATTAGGAAATGACAGGCAATTATTTAGGCTTATTGAGGATACTGGCAAGGCAAAGACGATGGTTAGTGACACATCGAGAAGGATGGAGTGCTGATAACCTTTCAGGACAGACGGCTAGGACGTTGAGCGGAATACTTCGAAACTTACTTCAACTCCAAAGCTTCATGTTTCCTGGTATCTGGTTGAATTCCGAATTGTGTGTAGATTTCGATCCTCTAAGTCTTTCCAAGGTTGAGATGGCTGTTTCTAACTTGAGACGGTGTGGAGCAGCAGGGCCTGTCGGTTCGCCATCCGAAGTCTTTAGGGAAGAAGATAGGAAGTAGGTGATCAGAGTAACGGAGGCACTATGTAGTGTGAAGGAATCAGAGGTAGTCTCTTCAGACTGATTCACTTCACTGATCGTTCCAGTCCATAAGGAGGAGGTGAAGTCTTGTGGCGACCATCGGTGGCCAGTTTAACTAATATTGTGTCCCAGATCCTTGGGTCCATAGTTTTTCTACGTTTAACTGGAACTCGACGGTGGAGAATCGAAGAAAACCAGTCAAGTCTCACAGTTGAACGCGATTGTGCCTCAGTTAGATGTCGTCCATTCGATAGCTTCTGGAGCGGATAGATGCTTCATAATGCCTATGATATTTCTTGATCTAAATACATCATTAGACTTTCGAGCGTGAGTCGCTATCTGTGAGTGGCTTATAAAGGACTATCGAGAAGGTGTATAACGGTAATGTTAACTCTGTACTGTAATTGATGCTGCCATGTGATGGTTTCTGGTGAATTTCCATCTGAATTGATGACAACTAGTGTTGTCTCGCAGATGTGGTGGTTAACATTCCTCTTGAACTTCGATATGAATGTACCAATGCGTATAAGCCTATGCACATCTGACTTCAAGGATATTGATCTCCCTAGAGGGCATGTGGTTGGCTTGGGTTGAGCAGGTGATATTGTTTTGCTAGGTGCACAGGCTAACAAACCACATCGTCTACTGAGTGCGTCAAGCAGATATTGGAGTATGTTTGGCATGCATTTTGCACCTTTCAAGTGTAATATGCTGCTCGAGGACTGGTCTGCAAGTATTCCCAGTTTAATGATAGGTATTGAAGTGGTGGAATTTGTCGACCTCTTCATTTACTTTGGAAGTTGCAGTTGCCTAAACTCGCTAGCTGCTCGCGAAATCTCAGATGGGGTACAGCGGGCTTATTTGGCATTTGCTAACTTGCGTCATCTCTAGCGCCGACTGGCGAGGTATCCGACTACCTGTTAAAAGATGAGTATACTGCACTGCAGTTCGTTCTTTCCTGTTACACGGCTGTGATATGTGGCTGTTGTAAGTAGAAGACATATGCGGTTATAGGTTTTTGGCCATAGCTGTCTTCGTAGGATTCCTCACGTATGATGAAATCATGTGAGCAATGTAGTAATTAGAAGGGTACTCGACATAATTTAGTCGATTAGGTTGTGAGCCTTCACCGATTGAGGTGTTTTGGACATGTTTTGCACATAAAGACCTGCCCCCTTACTTTCACGTGTAGTTCTAGCAGAAGTTGGATTACGTTGGAAGACGGTTTAGCTTGGCCAGACGTAGATGTGATACCAATCTGTGAGGTCCCTGATTGTTGAGATGAGCCGCGTAGGAAGGTGTAAACCACTTGGCTAAGGTCCCTAAGACCATAGGAATCAGTAGTTGAGTACTCTTGGTAAAGTGGCTGGAAATCGGTGACACTGGCGTAGATGTATTCACTCTGGTGTCTTATAAAGCTCGAATGTTTTGACTGACTAATTTTCAAATTCCCTCTCCTCGCATACACCTTTATCCACTTTGATACCAGTCTTTCCTATCAAATTGTAATTTGTATACGACTGTGAAGTGTGACAACCTGAACCAATGCACTTCTGTGCAAGGTTGAAAGTTGATTTTGCTTGTCCGTCTGTTATTAGTTGACTGTTATTTGTAATATTTTTCTGGTATCTTTGGGGGCTTTGTCACCAGGTAGCTTACAGGGTTGATCAATGCGCTTAAAAGATTTGAGAAAATTGGTTTACATGTGATTTCGGTTGAATGACCGTCGATAGTCCCCAGCGACTGCATGGCTAGCTTCACGCATAGCAAAGTTTTATACTGCACAGTGAAACGCAGTTTGATTATTCTGTGGCGTTAGGCTGTATAGAGTGACAACATAATCTAATGTAGATGATGAAAATGGTACATGAACGTTTTTTAAATTTCACACTTGTTTGGAGAAACGTTGTTTTGGAGTATGATAGAGGATTGCAACATGAAGTATTGTAGGATTGTACCAGGTATATGTTAGTACAGTTACTCTTTGTTTTAGCCTATTCTCTGTCTATAAACACTTTAGGACTAGGCTTTGGATTATCACAAAGGGCTCCTTTGAGTGACTGGATTGCAAGTCGCTCATTAAACCTTGGCATATATTTACGTGGTAGTCATGCCTTTCGAGATTTCCCTGCTGTCTTATGGCGTTTTAGAGATGAAGCTTGTTGCGGATAACTTCTTAGCCCCAGAGTGCATGAATGGTACTGTCCTGTTTGTTAAAAATGCTGCCAAGGTTCGGTCTTAGTTGTGGTTCATCGGCCTACTCGCTATATTTTATCCATCCAGTGGGTTACGGGTTCTATCAACTCTCCATCTACCTGGATTTGGGCAACAAGTTAGGTGTGGCTCACTGCTTACTGGACCAATGTTCATGTGGCTTCTGCGTGCTTTTTTGAACTTCAGTCGCATTTCAAAATTACTTGAGGTGTGTTGCTCACCACGGAAATGCTAGTTGTCGCCCAAAAGTGGCCTGTGTTAGTGCGTTGCCTAATAGTAGGATGCAATGTGGTTGAACGCATTGACTCTATCACTTATTTAAGATATCAGATAGGTCCTGGTGGGCTAGTGGCCGATGAAATCTTGACATCGATACCAAATATTTGATCGTCTGCGAACTTTCCCTTTTCATGGTTCTGGCGTGAAATCAGATTGGTTATTCAGAGCTGAATGTTGAGCACTGAAATTCACCCTGTTCTACTGCATGGCTATGAAACTGGCCACTAAAGGTGGAGAACATGAGAAGGCTTTAGGTATTTGATCGCCGTTGCCTTCGTATCATAGGTGGCATATCGCGTTGTCACCGCCTCGGTAATATAGATGTCAGTTGAAGAGTTTTGTGGAGGAAAGTCAGTCGATGGGTTATGAAACATCAACTCATGACTGAGGCATCTGTTAAGCATGCAAAATCACCGTCTACTTCGTCGCATTATGTTGGCTAAAGTAGGTGTAGGAGGGGAAAGGTTTAGAGGTGGCCAAACTGGAATATGACTTCTGTTCATGAAATCTTTGACCGTTAGTCTGAGCCGTGCAGGTAAATGTAGAGTCCTCTTGACAACAGAAACCTGTGGTCGAAGACTATGTGACATGGCTTAGAATCGATCTCAGTGGTGCAGAGATATCCACACATTATGTTCATCCTAATTATTATTATTATTAAAGGAAGTAACCCCACCTATCTACGAAGCACTGTTTCAACTACAGGCGGCACTGACGAGGATGTCAAAGTCAGAATCGGAAAAGCAAGACGCGTTCATTAGCCTGAAACCAGTGTGGAGATCTTCTGCACTCCACTCAGCATGTGGAACAAGATCTGGATTTTCAACCCCAACGTCAAGTCAGTGCTTCTGTATGGTTCAGAGACTTGGCGCGTTACGAAAGAGATTTCCAATAAACTACAGACATTCATCAACGACTGCTTACGCTGGCTCGCTACTGAAGATCAGATGGCCAGAAATAATAAGCAACAAGGAACTCTGGGAACGAACCAACCAAGAGCCTATCACGCAACAAATATGCAGGAGGAAGTGGAGATGGATTGGGCATACACTGAGAAGGCCGACTGGGGACATCACGCGTCAGGCCCTGGAGTGGAATCCCCATAGGAAGCGACGAGTTGGACGTCCAAGGGTGACATGGAGGAGGTCGTGCGAGGAGGAAATGAGAGCTTGTGGGCTGTCGTGGAGCCAGGTTCAAAAGATCTCAGAGAACAGAGTGCACTGGAGACGTGCTACTGAAGCCCTATGTTCCATTAGGAACCCAAGGGACTAATAATAAATAATAATTATCAGCAATCCCGTATTCTTAATTGGTATCTTATCATAACGTTTTTACCTTTCATAACTTCTTTTTTCTCTGTCTCTTTGTTTTTTTCTGGGTTCTTTCTCGATTGACATGCTGGTATGTATAGTAATTTGAACCCCTACGTAGGAATACCTAATTCTTTGTTGATTTCTTCTGTCTTAGTCCGAGGGGGAACACGATAAAATGATATAGTTATGCGTTATAGATTTTAACTTAGACGTTATCTCATGAAAAAATACTCAGTCGCTGTATGCTTTATCAAACAAATTAGTCGAATACGGGACTTCACTCCAGCAAATCGTTCAAGTTTTACATCACTTCGTATTCATTATTTACAGCAGCGAATATACTAAAATAGAGTATAGCGCTCTCATGTAGTTTGATTTTTTTAACTATTGATTTTAACTGCAACCTCAGATGAAGCTTACACTTACACTATTCAAACTGGCTGCCATCTTATTCTTTTGGTTCGTTTTATGTGATGAGAAGCTACACGTTATAACTTCAGCATGAGATCAGAACTTATAAAATACCACCTACCCTGTTCTCTAAGTGGATCTATTAAAAACTAAAACTGGATATCTCAGCTTAGTTTGCTTAGAATGGGTCTAGTTCTAAAACAAAAGATATTTTTCTGTCCTAATGGACGTATGCTTATTGCAAATATCTGTTGAAGCCTATCTTACCATGTTAAATCCAAACTTACAGTTCACGATCATAAAGTAAACTCAACCCGATGCTGAATCTGTTTTATGTCTATTCTTTTTTTCACAGATATTTTTATTTACTCAACTCATTTTTCTATTGCAGGCTGTTTTTCAGAAATTAATGCGTACCTAATTTGGTTCGCGTAAAGTTTCCACTTCCAAGGTTCACTATAATGACAGGCAACGTGTATCACTGCATCTATTGCAATAATTGTGTTTCTGCACTGTATACACAATATACTGAAGAAATAATTAAAATGGAACATTGTCCCAAGTGCGGAAACATTTCTGATAAATATATTGAATACGACCTGTTCTTAGTTGCTGTTGATCTTCTGATTGGTCGTCTTGAGGCATATCGCCACGTTATCCACAATATTTCTACTCTAAGTTTTCCGAAGTTGCTTTGTATGTCGATGCTGTTAAACGCTTTTGTTTCTTGGCTTAGCGAACAACCAGCAACTGTCATTCATCTATCTGATCTCTCTATCTCTTTCAGTTCAGATTTATTTATTCACGTAATATCTGTTTTGTGTTGGTGTCTGTGTTTTTGCTTAACTATTGTCCTTTTGTTTCCTATATGCAAAATTACTGCTATACCAGATTTAATCAAAGTAATGCTTATTGTTAACCTTAGTAGACTGTTGACTTTCTTTTTAATAACATGGAAAGCTGAATTTGACCATATTTTTCAGGGTCGTCTGGAGTTCTATCCTTTTGTTTCCTCGTGTGTTGCTGTAACACCGTGTGTTCAAAGTTTAAGAGCGATAAATAATCTTGGATTTACAATAGCCCTGTGTTTGGGTGCATTTATATGTACTGCCAGTCTTTTGTTATCTACTTTCATATTACCGAGTATATTATTGTTACTATAAATATAATGCTGATTATTTTACTGTTAAATGTGTTTTTCTCTCTATATTTCAGCAAAATGGTCATAAAACTGATACTTCTGATGTTTTTCTTCAATTCCATTACCACATGTTCGGGTGACAACCGAGTGTCTGTTACACTGATTCCCAAATGGAAGACTACACCTCTTTTATCAGAGGCCAGGTAATATCATGCTTTCTAAAATATTTTGAGTGAACTTCTTTTACAAAAAAGTAAATACAAAGGTATCTTATTGTGATTCATTAATATTCGAAAACTTGAGTGTTGCATACTTGAGGTCTATTATTTGTGGAATGAAACAGTTTCTGCATTGTGTTGTAGAAAGTATCACTCATTGCATCTTAGTAACTCAAAAATTTGTTGTACTGTATAAAAAAATAAGTCTAGTTTTGAAAAAGAAATTTATGACTATCTATTATTTTAGTCTAATCTCGAGATATGAAGTCTTTGTGCATCATTAAAGTCCGTTGTTTACTCATATAGAAAACTGTTTGAAAGAAAAAGCCAAGTCACTTGTTTTTGTTAGCTACACCCAATATGTAAAATAGAGTATTTTCTTAATATAAAATAAGGAATTGACAACTAAAGCACTTCTGTCTTTCACTAGCAGTGTAACGTGAAAGTCACCTAATTTTTGTGTATTAAATTTTATTTGTGAGCAGGTCTCGAGCTTTTATAACATGCAGATAATATCAACAATGGTATGAATTTCGATGGAAGTAAATAGGTTCAATTTATCATACTTAACAAAGGATTGATAAAGTTACTAAAACACATGCAAAATTGCTGTTAACTTTATTTCTTCATTTGAATTTTTTGTTTTATAGTGAATACGTTGCTCGAGAATCAGCATCTGCATTCTGGCGGTTTATAGATCTCATATCGGAGGATTTAGAATTTATGAAGACACAGCTGCTGCCTAACACCAAAGAATCTCTTTCCATGGCTAGCAACAGATTGTTAGAAAAAAGAGTTAAAGATCTCGCTATTCAGGCTGTTGGTGCCTCTAACTTAAAAAATAGCTCCTTAGAGATGCATCGTCGATTGTTTACTCTATCTGTTTCATCCAGAATGTTTTCACCTACAGTCGAAATGTCACATCAACTCGCTTTAACCGGTGCAAGCCACTTGTTAAACTTGTCACGTGAAAGAGTTTTGGAGGAATTGATTACACGATCTTCAGGTGCAACGTGGGCTCATATAGGGACGGAAGCTGTTTTTTCCGTTGATAAATTAAAAGAGTTTATTAAAAGTGCTAAAAAACCTGATGCAAAACCGAGTAAGTTTGTTGGGTTTGTGCAAATTAAGAAGTAGTATTTACCCTAGTACTTTTTGGTAACTAACTAGCTAGTAATCCGTCTATTGTAAGAAATTAAGCATGAATAAATTTTGAGAGAGCATATTTCCCCAATAGATCTTCAATTATGAGGTTAGTACTGCAACTTTAGATCCAGATAGTACATTCACCCCAACGAAGCAGGTTTTTCGTATAACTGCACCTTGAAGTCTGTACAACTTAATTAGGATTTTCCATTCTCAGATTACCTGATGAACGGAAACGAGTAGCTTTTAACTATCCATTGCGTTCACTAAGACATTTTGTGAATTCATAGTGCTTGTATAATCTTGAGTAGATGACTTTCAACGGAAACTCTCTTCATACCACAAGTGGCCGCTGAATATTACCGATATTTCACTACGCTGATATTATCCTATTAAAACAATAAGGCGTTTTGTACAACCGCGAAAGTGAAAGGAAGTTAGGACTCAAGTGTCGACCAGAAAGTTCCTCCTCATTTTTAATATACGGCATGGTGGGTTACACTATTTATCATATAGTATCGCTTCCTTCTTTCTGAACGTGTAGGATATAGGCATAAATGGGACTGTGGAATAGTGGTCTAGGTGTCCTGTTTTCAATTACGGGGTTACGTGTCTAAACCCACTTTACCTAACTTGTCTTGGGTATCTAGATAATATGATTAACGGTGATATGTGCAAACTTGTATGAGGTAATTGTGCCTTAGCTTTGGTGTTTCTAAAATTGCTTTTATAAACTTTCGGTATCACTTTTGTCTCCTGGAATAGGATACTTCATCAAATCCAGTCTAGGGTACAACCAGAAAGATAATTTGAGCAGGATATATAGTCATAAAAGATCAGTTTGGGACTGGAAATATTGGTTTTATGGTCAAGTAGAATCTCATTCATATATACTAACTCATCGTGATGCTTTTTTTCTCTAGCGTATGCATCTCTGCTTGACGTAGGTTAGCTATAAAATCTAGTAGGAGGCTGCAAAATAGTTCTAGTACCCGAGCTACCAGGTTTAACATTAGCATACATATCACTTCATTAGTCAGTTTTTGAATATGCTGTAAGTTATATTCACCTTGGTGACTAGGAGTGGAATATCCGGCATTATCAAGGCATCCGCATAGGAGCCCATCTACCCTGTTTATAGCAATGGGAAATTACAAGTATCATAACAACTTGGTATAAGTTCAGTAACTAGCTAACAACTACTATTTATCCTTCAAAATTAGTTTATCTCAAGATCCATGAATATGTTTGTACAGTTATTTTGAATGGTCTTTACTGCCATCATGAGTTGAAAATTAAAAGTTCATACTAATTTGACTATTACATTCGAACTTAGTGGATAACATATCTTTTGTTTTTTGTCACTATTCCTACCTTTCTTTTCCAAGCTTTATTTCCACTTGACAAAATTTATTCATCGAAAGACATTTCAAGTGACATTCCCACTGTAATTTTGCATGGAGATTTAAGTCATTGTGAATTTTATTCCTGGCATAGAACATTGAAGGCCTTGTCTGATGATGGTTTATGCATTTATGTATTTAGACATTATTTCCAGGTATGTGCATTACCTTTCTTATTAGTTCTTTCGTTTATATTGATTAGCGTTATACTTCTAGGAGACAGGATTGGCTATAAAGTACTTATTCGAAATGTCACCTTCCATAATTCCGTCAACCTTGAAAACGGACTTGAATGTAAGCAGATAAAAGCCTTTAAGCTGGCTCACTACTTCTATTTAAGTATGAAGAGATGTGTTAGGGAGACTTAGTGGATTACTGGATCTGTGAATCAGCTATTGAGTTTCTTGACTTACTACCAGTAAGCCATTGGCTCAAATTCCATCGCCATTATCGAGGTTTTGTTAACCGAGTGATATCATCAAATGCAGTTCATTATCCATTAAATAAACCTGTACGTGCTCGCTGACTGGTAATATTAATACAGAAGGTGCCATAGTACTACACCAGTTCCAATTCTTGCATTTTTCACGGAGAAAGAGTATTAGCGAAAACGCGGTAACTACAAATATAATATAGGATGCTTAAGTTAGAGTTAGATAATGAATATACGTACGCCAGTGATGTTAATTTGGTGTCATTTCGCCTATTTTCTTAACGGAGGATTAAAATACCGGGAGGTTACTGCGTTGTATCATTGGATACTGATTAAAATGGTGTACATTTTTGTTATCAACATTATCGAGTGAAATTAGGTTACATGCATCGAAACTAGACTGCGTGTTTCACCGCTTCATCTGTTCTCATGACTGTTTGGAAGCAACAAGCCTATCTAATTGATTTACATGAGTTTTTGACAAGGATTCTTTGTACAAAGAGATAGTTTTCATCACTAAGGGATTTAAGTAGAAAAACGCTAGAACTGATTAACATGTTCATTACTTCGATCTGTCATTCAGCTACTCAGACATTTTTGTCTACAGTTTACTAGTTATAACTGGTATACTTCAGCTTAAACTCGTAATACTAACTACTGAAAACGATCCCAATATCCAGCGGAACGACTTGGAGTGCTTTAAAATTAGAGTAAGCATTTAGTGTCAAATAAAAAACTAACGGATATATAGATGAAACTCTCATCATCTATGAAAAGGATAGTAACCTTGAAAGAATACTACGAAAGTTCAATGAATGTCACAAGTCAGTTAAATTTACCATGGAAATTGAAAATAACTCAGAATTCTACTTCTTGAACCTTCTATTGGTAAGGAGACATGGCGGTTCCCTAAAGAGATCAATTTACAGAAAACAAACTTGCAGTGGTCAGTATGCTCACTTTTAAAGTTGGACTCCATTAGTCAGGAAAAGAAATCTAATTCGTTCATTATGCGCACGAATTAGAAGAATTTGTGCGGATGATGCAGTAACTGAGGAGCTGGAAGTACTTCAAAGACTGGTGATCCTTCAAGATTCATTGAGAGGAATGTGAGGCCTGAGAATTTTATAGAAGAAACTCCTATGTTTCCAAAGAAGATTCAAAGGAGACACATTGGCAGAGATACTGAAGAATCGGATATGCAAAGCATTGAAGATGACCTTCTTTTTCACCCACCTTTCTTTAGTCAACAACTGATTGGAGGGTGTTTAAAGGATAAACTGCCACTTTGGGCCATCTGCATGCTTGTTTCGCAACTTACCTGCTCCTATGGAGCTAGTTGCATGGGCCGCACAAAGCATGTTCTGTCCAAAGCATCTCTGAACAGTATCTTGCATGACTGTTAGAAGGACAGTGTAAAGCCAGTAACAGCTCTATTCTTGAGCATTTGGTTATTTCCGGTCATTGTACTCCACGAGAGTTTTCTTTCAAATTAATTTGTAAAAAACTAAAGAATTTAAAAAAAGGAGATATGAAAAAGGATTACAGTAATATCATTTTAAGTGTTGGTGACTAGTAAAAACCATTCGGTTAATAGTTTTTTATCCGAGCCGACATTATACTACTCGTTAAGTATCACTTGGAGTAGTTCATTGCTCCTTAATACTTTCAAGGGTTATATAAAAAGAATTCAGGGAATTTTATACTGTTTACATATTTTAGTCACGATATTTACTACTGTTTATTTACTTGTACTTAGTTTGAAATTTACTGCAGTTGTTTCGTCTAACTTACTGTTTCATGTTTTCACTAATTTTCGATAGGATCGAAATTCAAATAAAACTAATTTAAATGGTTATGGTGTTGAACTTGCACTGAAAAGCACTGAATATAAAGCTATGGATGATACTAAAACTGAAGGTGAGTTTGGCCCTTTTTGTAAATGAGCTACAAGTTGCATTATGGTTATGTGTGTAAAAGAAGTAGATATGCTTTTGTGGTTACCCATGTTCGCTGTCATGCATCATCATATCAATGTTCACTTCACAATTGCTCAGTGGATTGTATCATCTCATGCTCAAGTAAATCGGATTATCAGACTAGACAGAAAAATGAAACAGTGTTAAACTGAGCGCAAAAATTGCTACTCCTCTCAGCAGTATACAACGAAAATTAATTAATAGAAGCAAGAGAATAGGATTAAAAAGTAAGATATGAAAGAAATAAGACAAACGAGTAGATATATTTGTGGTCGCTTTTGAGCCGTATAGCCATATTGCCTAACGTTTTCAACGATTGATTCCCAACTTTCTGGGGGGCTGCAGTCGACTACCTTACATTTCTCGACACATCTCATACAAACGCCAAGTGACCTGGTGAACTGTTTTCACATCTTGTTCTGTTCACACTTTGTTTCCTTTCATTTTAGTCATACTTCAATTAAAGTAATATGTCGAGGTAGACTTCAGAAATTACCATGGTTACATTGGTTATCTGACCAACCCGTTAACTTCTCCGATCGTCAGAATTCGATTCTTCCAATAGCATCCTTCAGTCTTATGATTTGATTCATGGGAGAAAGAAACCTGTTTACACTACTTTTCAACAGAATGTAAAGTACAGAACCTAGTATGGTTTTGTTATTGAGTTGGGTTGAGATTTATGTGGAAAGACAGTTAGGTTAACAAATCAGCTTAGACTGTTGCATTGTCCGTTGAAAGTAACACTAGGGGTTGGCTTTTCGTTTACCACTTATTTCGAGAATTATTTGGTAATTATGTTAAATATATCTGTTCGTACTCAATGGCAAGCAGACTTAAATATGGATCATCAGAGCAGATAAACAACAATTGGATAGACGTAAACGAGCTTACAACTGGCCATGGTAATAAGATTTTACAAGTCGTTAAGTGGAGTAGGGGGAACCTGGCAACTAACTAAGTATGATTTGTTGTTTCTAATCTGTGTAGCCCCTTCGCCCCATATGATGTTAAACAGGCATTTTTCATATATTCAGCTCAGAGCTGAAAAATTAATTTATGTGCTAATACACTGATTCATTTTCAAGTAGTCTACAAAACACTAAAGTGAGAATATCTACAATGTTATTCTCTATTGAATATGCTATTGAGTGTGAAAACACTATAAGGATGGATTTTACGCATATATTCTATCGACAAAGACAGCAGTAAAACTCACATTGAAACGCCTACTGTTGGTTTTCATTTCTAGGTGAAACAGGCCCTTTACCGTACATATTTAACTGATTGATGGTAAACAGTGGAAAATGCGGTCTTAGTTAACGGGAATTCGACTAAAGTGGGAAATCATGACTTCAGTCCATTACCGTGTTGATGATTACTTCCTTTTAGATGGCGGAGCTATGGCTCAGTAGTCTAGGGAGATGTCTATTACCCATGGGTTCGAGCCCCGCCCCACTACCGAGGTTTGGTCAAGCAGGTAGTATCATTAGCCCTCACTCAATAGAAATGTAACGTATTGCCTACTACACAGATTTGAACAAGGTAGCTGATTACGTTTTGTTCGTTCGCTCCTTCAAATTAACTTACGACCAATAAGCATCTGTTCGCAGAAAAATCGGATTCCTGTGATGCGGATTGATTATAAGGTTATAAGCTGATAACACTTGGGGAGAGATCATTACAAATGCTGATCATATTCAATAGGATGATCAATTTGCAAACGAATTACAGACTACATGATCCACGTTGACATTCCTGGCAGTTGATTAGCTTTCCAACCTCTCAACTGTAGTTTCAATCGGGTCTTCGTTGGAAACCATCCAGTCATAATCACAAGGTGTAACCTCTGATACAAAGTGCCACGAATTAACGAAATATACCGCTGAACAACTCGAGTAGTCAGAAACCACTCGGGCTGATCTGTAGATTTTGCCAGCCAGATAAGAGTGATCTTAACACAGAACAGCCGTTTCGCTCCTGTGGGACCGAGCTTATCAGGAGCTGTGAACAGTATATTTCTGATTATGTTCAACTAGATCTACTTTTGAGGAATAACTTGTAAAAATACTTGTACTAATGGCTACTGAATACTGCTTCTTCCAATTCAGAACATCTCTATAAGAAAGTAGAATTTATTCGAAAATTAACGGTTAGTAAATTCTAGTCGGTATAGAGAAATTTTAAAGTTCACTAACTTCATTCAGGTCAGTATACTGTGTTCAAAACACGGATGAAGGATGCTATAATAAGTAGTAGACAAACGCACAAAATCAACGTAGAACCTCGTATACAAGTTATCACCCTTCACAATGCATACAAAAACTGATGGATGGAAAAAGTTTGATATCAAAGTAGACAAAGTTGAGTGAGGGAATAAACTGTTTGAAGATAAAGATTGGCACAAATATTCAAGCTTCAGATGTCGGAGAGTAAATGCGTCTGCACCAATGTGACCAATTTCCAGTCATGTCACCAAGAGTCCTCAGCCACTGATTCCTGTCGTCTCGGGGACCCCGACCGGGTAGTCTACATCTCCCCACATGACTTAGACTAACAGTTAGAGATTTCGTAAACTGGTATCACGTCTCAGTCTGGTCGGTCTGAACCCTCTTCCAACCTAACCTAACTTTCCCAGCGTGTCACATGGAGGTAGGCGGTGGGTTAGCATACACACTACGTGTCCACCCCATCTCAGTTGACTGAGGTTCATAAACTCATAGAGTAACTTACTTGTCTTCCCTAGTGCCTTCATCTGTCCTCAACATGGCTTACACGGTGATTCCACCAAGTGCGAACAATGCTTAGGAAACACCTGTGATCAAAACCCTATAATTACTTCATATCTTCCACTTTTAACCACCATTTCTCGCAGTTCTTTAACAGAAGAGAACGATCTCCAAGGTGGGGTGATTTAAACACATAAACATATGTTTTAAATCCAGGTCACAACCATATCTGTGGTTAGAGATTGGCAACAGATAATCCTTTCTCACAACTCTAAATTAGTGGGTTAGTCAGTATCAAGGTGGTATTTGGCATTAATGGATGTGGGAACGAGTTACTAACTCTCTATTCACGATTCCTTATGGACAAATTCAACAATGTCGGGAGTGAGGGTGGATGGCCACCTGTGACATCGAGTAATGGTCACCCTATACCTTAGTTTGATAGAAACTGAAAAAAGTTGAATATCGAATTCAAACCTAGCAGCTGAGTAGTAAACTACTGGCTACGAGACCTGGCGATCCTGGGCTCGTTGCATTATGGTATCATGGGTGCCAACCTCTAAGGAGTCCCAAGCTAGGACTAAAAAGCCGTCCAGTACTCCTAAATTTTCAATGGTTTCCTAGTTGACATCAACCAGTCAGTTTCTACGAAGTCTAGTTGAAATTCCTAGTTATCGTTTCTTGCTTAACTGAGGTTGGAAATGTGGAAAAGTTTCGCAAGGAAATGACGTAGGCAAATCAAGTTTTGTAGTATTTGCAGATAGCTCACGCGCATTAATCTATTATTCCCTGAAATTCGTGTTCATGAAACTCAGTCTAGTCCTACACGCAGTCAGTCGCGTCTCCCTAGTTGCTCAGTGGTAACGCTGCTGACTGCAACACTGGGTAACGCAGGTTCGAATCTTACGAGAGACATCACTTCCCTCGAGGTTGCTGATATGCCTTGCTGACAAGTACCAACAAGCATGAAACCTAGGTGAGGCAGGGCTTTCTGTGGATTGCATCTGACCAACTAACCCATGTTTTTGTTTTTATGAATTATGCAGTCAGAAAAGGATTTTAATGTTAGACTCTGTACCAATGTTTAATCAGTTCTCCTGTTTATTTTTTCCCTTTACAACAGAGCCAGATAACTTGTCTGCCAAAGGAACCGATAAAACTTTCGATGTTCCAGTTGTAGCAGGATTCAATTTTACACAATTACAGAGTATTCATCCTGAATTAAAAAAGGAACTGAATGAATTCCACAACCATTTATTATCTACAGATGACGAATTACGTCCACTGAAAGCTTGGCAATTTCGTGATTTAAGTTTACAGGCTAGCCAACTAGTAATGGATGCATACTTGACAGATGGAAAACAAGAAAGTTTTATGGGATCATATATAAATTCGGGCTTATGGAGTTTACGGGATATTAGCCAAAATTTGCCAGCAAGGGCTAGGTAATGCATCAGTTTATTTTTTTTCGATAATATTTCCGTTTGACTATCAATTGTTTCCAACAGGTGAATATACAAAAAGGTACCACAACGAGTTTAGGTTCAGTATTCACTTAAAGGGCTGAATCAAAAGATGTTTCAGCATAACTTTGCCCTTGTTTTGATAACGAGATGTCATATATCCTCGGATAACCTATTTTGACTTTCCTCAGTTTATTTCCTTCTTGTTTTTTCTCGTCGTAGCAAATTTTCGATTTCTGCACTGGTGACAAGTACGGGAATTCGAATCGGTTGATATTATCCAAGTTGAAGTTGTCGCGAAACGATTCGGAATTTAATTAATAGTAGCATGAAAAACTCATAAATCTGATGTTGACTACTTTTGAGAACTACCTGACGAAATTAACACATCGCTGTAAACCAGAAAAATAGATATTCGAAAGAGTTTATTGTCAGGTTTATAAATGATGAACAGTAGTGAAGTGCTTGTGTTTTTGTAAGATTTTGAAGTAGCTTTGCAGTTTCATCAATGAGTGCGAGTTTTTCGAATCATAGTTTGATTATTCTGCAAGGTTTTAAGATTGATGATGGATTTGAGCCGACTTTTCAGAAATAATGGTACTTGTTAACACAAGTGCATTTTTAAGAATGGTTCTACCCTGTTGTGCTTGTCTATACACATCTGTTATTTGGTTTAACTTTGGGATGAACGATGTAACTGCTTACTGTCTGTTACTAGAGAGTAGACGTTTTTATGAAGTCATTTTTCCTAAACTGAATGGGATGGCTGTCTACTGTTTGACTTAAAGAGCCATTTCTATTGAAGTAAAGGAGGACTAAAAGGAAGTTTAGAGTGTTTAGGTAAAGACTCAGTTTTTCGACGGTCACTCTTGTGTAATTTTAGAATGCATATGCTCATATCTTTACACCTTTTATTGTCTTACTATATCCTTTCTCCTAAACTATTAAGTGTTATGGGACTAGGTTGGCTAGCATTTTATTCAAAATTCTTGTTTACGTTTATGACCTACTATCTGCGGTCAGTTAGGTGCTTTTTGGCTTGCTGTATTCATTACTTGTCTATAACAGTGACAAAACTCGACTGTCAAAAGAGAATTCTTAAACATTTAGTACAGAGACTCTTATATATGCTGTCCTTCATATGCTTTGTGTAAAACGTCACCTTTATAATTCGCGGTAATTTAACCTCTGTGCGCAAATGTCTCGATATTACCTGGAGTTTCATGACGATACTATTTTATCTGATGGTAAGCAGTGGAATCGGGACTCATTTTTTTTTATCCTACTCTGAACTCGTCCGTCGGATGTGATTGTTCCTAGATTGTATTACAAGCCAAACAAAGTAGCTTCGTAGCGAAATTTCGCTAGTGCACCCAAGCTCCCAAAAAACAGAAACTGATTGATTTGATTGAATGAGGCAAAAACCGGAAAATAATTAGAAAATAATTCCATACTTCGGTTGCATTTGAACAAAACAAGTCATCCTAGAACCTAAAACATAAGTGCATCACCTCAAGTTACACTTGTTTACAACAACTTGTAAAGAAGTGGATAGACGAAAAATGATATTAAAGTTGACGAGTGTTGAGGCATATCATGAATAGTCGACAACCATTGATTATTATTGTCTCGAGACAGCATGCACCCTCCTACATGGTTCAGATCGAAAACTAGAGAACTTATAGACTGATGTCACATCTTAGTCTACTTACTCTTAGCTTTCTTGTAACTTAATCTTAGACGAATATCAAGCAAGCGACGCATGTACCTGTTGAAGGTTGGAAACCTCATTGGCTAATTACTTCTGAATAGTATTGTTATATGCCTCGATATATCACAAAAATTCCTTGTGAATACGTTTATGTGAGACAAAAGTTCATGTTATCTCATAAAATCTGTAATCGTAGCACATAATACTTACATTATTCGTTTTCCCCCTTTCTTTTTTGTCTAGTCGACTTGTAAATGTGAATGTTAATCCAAATATTCGCAAAGAGTCAGGTACAAATCAATATATTTTATCTGGAACTTTCGGTATACAACCTGGTCAAAGTTTACTACTTTTGAATGGTATTTTACTGTCACCTTCTGTTGATATATTTGCTTTACTGGATGTGGTACGTCACGAAGCGAAAATGATGGCACAGCTACATGACTTAGGAATACCAGTAAGTGGTTGATGAGTTTCTTTATGGTCTAGACTTCAATGCGTTTCTTCCAGTCAGTGTTTCAGTTTAGCTTTATTGTTTACCTCAAACTAAAGTTATTTACTCATTTTGTTCCTTAATATATCTTAACTTGGTTTGTGCGTGATATGAAAGTATGTAACGTTAGCCAAAAATAGTATTACATATTCTTACTTACGAGAATAGTGTCTATTTCCAAAGTCTTTAACTTCATACATTAAATTTGGGACGAGATGCAATGATATTCGATACTTTTTAGCGATGCTTCATTAATTCACAATAAAAACATGTAACTCAGAGTGTTATGTAGTAGGCTATGAGCCATAATTGTTGTGTGACAGTTTACTGTACTGCTAAGTTTCAGGGGTCAAAGTAGGCCGGGTGGGGTTCGAACCGAGGACCCATTGGTTCATATGTACAGTGAGTAATGGTTTCACTGGTTTAAATATTGAATGGTAACCAATGGTGCTTTGGTTGCCAAATGGGACTTCATAGATGAAACTTATTCACATGTTTAGAAATGAACAATTGTGTGTTTGCGGTTCATATGACAGCTGAGAAAAATATTCAGTGAATAAAACTGAATCCTGGTTAGCAGTTGGGTTGTATACTTTAGTCGGTAAAAGATTTCGATGTTCTGCAGTAGGTGGTTGATTCAACTTCTCGCTACTACTCAAGTTTCTTTTCAATTTTGGCCGTTATTCCTGCAAGTTTTTTCCTCATTTCCCACCATTAACGTTTGTATTTCTGTATCCCCAAGCTACTGGTGTCACAGCATGTTTACTTTTTCTTACTGTAGCTTAAATTATCTTACTTACGGTTTCCTCATACTCTTTCTTGTCTTTTCCCATAGGGACCAAATGTATCACAACTGATTACCAACTATGGTTTGTCTAGTGAATCTGCTTCAACATCGAATGAAGGAGGTATTCCGGGTTCAAGACATAGTGTATCTGGTCAGATTGTACTGGATTTATCAAGTGCACCGATTGTTTACATTAATAATTTGGAATCAGATTCTGCTTATGCTCATTGGTCATCATCTTTTCATACGCTATTCACGCTTGACTTTTCTGGTGGTATACGTAGAATACGTAAAAATTTGCACAATGTAATTTTAGTCCTTGATCCTGCTTCATCTGAAAGTCGCGAGATGTTGAAATTGACAGAGTCTTTTCTGTTGCATATGACTGCTATACGGTTAGTTGTTGATACCTTTCTTGTATTTTATGTATATATATAATCACACATGGTGATTATATTTGGGGAACACTATGATTTCCCCTACTGGTTATGTCTTTTCCACTATCTTCCAATACGTGATTAGAATTTCCTACTCGTCTGAGTGAGAATTGGTGTAAATATGGTAAAGATGATTGTTAAATGGCATTGAGAAATTCCAGTTATCTGAACATGATGAATTATTGTACTAACGCCTATATTATCTGTTAGAATTATGTCACCTATTTCTACTCATCATTAATTTACGGGCACTTTTTAAGGCCACCCTGACAACTGCCAAAATAACCAATTGAGTAGCGGTATTTTGGCTGGAAAGACGATTTCTCACAGAATAAAGGAATGTGATTAGTTGTTTCCTCACTTGACAGGGTGGCCTTTAAAGTCACTCTTAATTTACCAGCATAGTATGAATCAAATTAAATTTTATACCATTTTAAACGGCGTAGACGGAAAAACAAACTAGTTTTTGTCAAAGACATTTTTTGAATAGGTTAGTAAATGTTTGTGTGATTTACTCGCGTAATCGCGCTAGAACACAAGTTCTTTTTCATAGGATATTTTCTATCACTTACTTCGATTAAGTTAGGGACTACTGAACATTAAATTCCTTTTGTGCGATGTTGTAATTGAAACATCAGATCGAAATTTCCTAACCTTCTTTTCCTCTGTATGAATGTTGTTTTATTCATTCATTTAAGATTACAACGTTTTACTTAATGTTTTTTTTCAGTTTTGGGATCCTTTGGTCAGTAAATCCTAAGGTCAATTCCACTGGTCTTATACTGACACGTATATTTACATACATATCATCCAGCATAACTAGATCACATGAATCACCATTTCCTGTCAGTATTGACGGTTTAGGATCTCCTGGTGCAATGGCAGCACTATCATTTTTAACGGAAATTTATGCTCATGCTGAGAAATTAGACACTAATCTGAATATACATTTAATCAAGCAGAAATTCGAAAAATTGTTTCCATCTGCTGATTCTGAGGATATATTTTCACCAGCTCCTGGTAGTAGTGATTATGATAACGAGGTTTCTGTAAGTTATTTTCTCTTACTTTTATCATCATTTGCATTTTTTGAGAAATTTTGATTATTTTGCCACGACAATTGTTTCTCCATTGTGACTAATGAACTGGTGTATGTGTGAGTGTGGCGATGTGACGTATTGGGTTGGGAACTTGACTTTCAAGCAATAGGTCTCGAGTTTGAAGCACACTTTTACCTGGGTGATCGGATATTGTCATAAACCGTCAGACAAAAAGTGTGGCTCATAGCCGAGTACATAGAAATTTCCCGGCCTGAGCATCTCAAATGATATACAGGATATCTTTGAGTATAGGCTATTCAATGTGACTTGGTGGGGAATGAACACTTCACACTGACTCATAAAATTATATACAGTTAAAGATAACGAAACAAAACGCCATGAATGTATCATGGTTTGTAAAATTGTATCTATTTTGTTCTGTTTAAATTCATTGATAGAATCAGATTTCTGGAAACTAGTGCTTTAAACAGCTGTTGGGCGCATTGACTATTTCAGTTACTCGCGAAGTCGATTTTACTCTGGTGGGTCAGTGACTGATGAAATCTTTGCACAGATAAAAACGTCTCCATTGGCTTTAGCCATCTTACGCCATTTACTGCACCGCCGCTATATCCGATTGGCTATTGAAAGCCAAGTGTACTGCGTTGCAGTTTTCTCTGTTCCACTATGTGGCTATGTGAAACATGGCAATTAATTGTAGAGGATGTGAGAAGACTTCAGTTGTTTGGCCACCGTTGCTTTTGTAGCATAAGCCGCAAGTCGTGCTGTTGCCAAGTCACAAATGTAGAAGTCAGATGAGAAGTTTAAGTATAAAAGGAAAGTCAGTTGGTGAGGTTGTGAACCTCCATCAACTCATGGCTGATGCATGTGTTAGCTATGTCCAGTCACCATCTGCCCCGTCGCATAATGTTGGTTAGTGGCGGTTCAGGAGCGGAAAACGTTATAGATGACCAAACTAAAACATGGCTTCAGTGCATAAAATCTTTGACCGGTGGTCTGAGCCGTGTACGGAAATGTTGACTACCCAGTTTGGCTCTGCGTGACAACAGAAACCTGTGGTTGAGGGCTAGGTGAAATTGTGCAGATATTTCCAAGCTTTATCTTCATCTTAGTCGTCTTACTGAATTTCACTGTTATCTTACTCCTTGTTCTCCTTTCACGACTTTCTACCACTTTGACTACTTTTCTCCTTATCTCTTTATCTTTCATCTTGGTGTATTCTTGCTTGATGTGCTGGTGTATGGTGTGGTAGTTTGTGCCGTTATACAATAATGCCGCATTCCATGTTGATTTTGACTGACTATCTTCAAGATTCTCAATCCGTAGTGAGAATAGCACAACTAAAGTAACACTACTGTTTATTGACATACTTGTTATCCTCCGTTGTTTTGTTGGATCGAATTGTTCGACCTCTATTGGCATATGGGCTCCTATGCGGATGCCTCGATATTGCCTGGATGTTAATTGTGACGGTTTGGTTGGTGGCATAGTGGATAACGCCTTGGCGTTTGAAGCGATGGGTATGAGGTTCGAGTCTCAGTGGGAACAACACCACTAGGGTGCAGGCACATCCAGCTGACGAGTCCCAAATAGGACGAAACGCTCGTCGTGGATTCTTCTGTTAGCTACAACCAACCAAATCATCATAAAGTAACACAGTTTTGAGATTTCATTTGAATTTTCTTCGGGAAATACAACTTTAGAACCACAACTTACGACCTACCGAATAGTAGAACTGGCGTTTAGAAAGTAAGCTTCTGGGTTTTATTCTTCGTATTCCCAGTTCGTCAGGTAGCTGATTAGTTTTGGAGCAACCTGAACGATTCACCTCAATAAGGTGAACTAATCTGTGCTCACTTGACGAATTCGACCCTAGATGAATGGAACTGCCATTCGCTGTATAAATTTTCTGACTCTTACTAGCAACCAATGCTCATATCAATCAGTAACATATGCTGTTCAAAAAAGCAACATTCCCGAGAGAAATTAATTTGTTCGGATAAAATCGCTTACCAATCTTACTACTATCACTTGTATTGATTCAGTGGATGGGGGACCTATGAGCATTTGAAAGCAGAAACGGCATTATTATTTTGGTCGTTAATTCACCAGCATGTGTTTACTATTTACTGATTATTGATTTCACTTTTTGCCTCATTCACCGTATACCACTTCGAAATCATTTTTCTCTTCTAAGCATATACATGTTTACTATAAAAGCCAGTTATAGTAATTGTAATTGAAGTAAGGAAGACAAATATTCCACTTGGTTAACGATTTCGCTTCTTTTAATGGACCATTTAACATACCATCCGATAGTAGCTGTCATCGTGTTCAGGTCACCATCTTCCCTTGAAAGTTGGTCGGGTAAGTAACTCAGTTTGTTGGGATTCGTATTGGATGGTTGAAGGTAAGCATCAGATTGCTTAAAAAAATATGTGTGCAATTTGCTAGCACTTATCTGTGACTCGTATGGAAACAATCTTGTTTCAGGTTACGAACATTATTGACAATCAGTGAAAATGTACATTATTTAGATGTAAAACACTGTTGTTGCAACCATACTGTGATATTTGCATTGTTCTATTTCTTGGTCACTATCCACTGAGTACAGAAAATTAATTTTAACGCTGTTTTCGAAAGAGTGCTAGCGGACTTTCGACTGCATATATACTTTAACAGTCCACACAAATAGAATTTCATGACTTTAATTTTGTCTAAATTTTAGGCTCATCATGAATTCTTAGTTCGTTCTGGACTTCATTCAGTTAATAAAATTCCATTGCTTCTATTTAATGGGATTATATTGGATAGTGAAGGAATTAGAAAACTTGGTGGTTTTGAAGATACTGTAGTCACTCTGTGTATGGAAGAACTCATGCGTGTACAATCAGCTGTATATGAAGGGCGTATGTCTGACTCTCATTCAATATTCGATCTATACCAGAAGACAGCAACTGTTGTTCCAAGATTCAATGCGCGTATTTTATTAAAGAAAACCGATAATTCAAATCAAAAATCCAATTCTGCTCCAAAATATGTCAACTTCGAAGGGAATTCCATACAAAATAATCCTTGTATGTATATTTTTCTTCGGAATTTATTTTGTTTGCTTATTGTTATGATCCCATGCATTTTTGAATGTTTTTCATCTAAACTGATTATTATTATTATTATTATTATTATTATTATTATTATTCAGCATAGAGTATTGAGTAAGGGAGGTGGATTCGTTGCTTATCATTATGAGTCTTTGCCGACCGTGGTGGTTAGGATACATGTTATGCTTATCAAACCATAGTCCATCTAGGTGGAGTAAATTGCAACTAACTTAGAAGACTACATGTAGCTAAACCGAGACATGAAGCCAAAGGTTAATCCTCCAACTACTGGCTTGAATCATTTAAGGAAGTGTTAACTTGCTAATTTTGGTAGGTAAAACAGACGAAAACGATGATTATTAGCTTCATTTAATGTGACTCAGGTTGCGCTTAATGATTCAGATATATCCACATTCTATCTTTAAATTTTATTGCTATATATATTATGCACTATCGTTCTACTTGTTGTTTCATCTTGTCTCATCTCCTTCTGGTATTCATATTCCTATGTCTCTGTCCCTTTTGGTTGACTGGTTACATCAGTATATTGTGGTGGAGTGTAGTAGGTCCTATATTGCTTACACGTATTTAAAAATGCTAAATTCCTCAAATCGTTTTTAGTTAAGGTATTCACTTGCGTAAATTGGTTAGATTTACTGGTTTAGGGAAAAGTCCGAACGGGAAGCAGTTAACTGAAACAAAACTGGCAAATAGGCGAAGAAAGCGAGGGTGAGGGTGGGGTGGAATAACGTTACTGTGGCTTTCCCTACTCAAAAAAGGTAACTAAAACCTTTAGTTAGAAGAAATTTCTCTCTACTTCATTTAATTCCTCTGGTCAAACGACCGTCGCTATCCTTAAGAGACCAAGAATTTAGTTCAGCCGCCTAAACCGAACAACCACGAATTGGTACTATGTTCTAGCTAAACCACTGTAAGAGCAGGAGTTGTACACTGGTTCCTTATTTTTATCAAGCGAAATATCTTTTAAATCAAAATCTTTGGGGTGAGCAGCCTGTACATATATGACAAGCGATTGACAATAAAACTTATTTGACAACAGAGAAAAATCTACCTTAGTTTTTTTATCACATCATCAACTGCAAACAACCTGAAATTGAAATGAATTGTCTAAAGTTACAATAATTACATAGCGTACTTTAAATTTGATGTAAAAGGAGTGTATACTCAAATTTCGGGGATAGCAGTGACTAAATGAGATACAGGAAACAAAAATGTCAGTTTTCAATCACAGTTTGAAGCAGTTTAAATCTGATCAGAAAGATGGTTGTAGAGCTGAATATAATATTACTTTCTCCTCCTTGCATACACATTTGAAGTTTGCTGTGTAATTATTGCTTCTAATAACTCATTTCAACTTCAAACTGTTTCCAGTAAACTAGGAGAGCTACTAAGTAAAATGGTATGGTAATTTCATGCGTCTTCAGTATGGATCACATGAGATACAGTGCTTAGCAACGTTTTAAAAAGCATAAAATGTTCACCTCATCTTCTTTGCCTCCCCCTTTGTCAAAGTCAGTTAGTGTCTGATATTGATATTCACTGACTGACCTTGTCTCCTATGAATTTTATCATTTTCTCTTCCTCTTTGTGCTACTTCATGAGTTGTAGTCTTTTTGTATTGATATTGAGTGTACATTAATGTAAGAGTAAACCGTAGAGACTGTAGTAGGATATAATTCCTTTTCAGTTAATTCACTGCATGTATCACACAGAGGAACACTACGACTTACTGGATTACATTCCCAACACTATTGTCTACAGTCATATGAAGATGACTCCACAGATTTGAGACATGATTTGCATAGTTCTAATTCTCTATCCTTCTTCATGATGTAGATAGTCGAATTTTCTATACATCTGGAATATGTTTGGAACAGTCATTCCTGTTGCACGTGGTCGGTGTTGATTCCATAAATTAACACTTGGTTATCAATCTCTCCCTCCATCCCCTTAGGGTTATGTTTTAAGGACCCATCACACTGTGTGGTTGTGTGTAATTGCATGCAAAGGCTACAGATGAGGTTTCTTTTAGATTCGTTATCTTACTGGGGTCTAGGAATCTTGATTTAGCTAAGCTTTAGTGCTTAGACAGCGTGAATGACCCTGATTGATTACTTTGACCTATGTGTTTGGTCTGACAATCACTATGTCATGCGTTTAATAAATCAACTGTAGTGAGTGTATACAAATTTATCTGATTCTATGTACTTCGATAATGTTGTGTAAGAAACCGAAACTGGTTCTACTGTAGGTATTCTTGTGTATATTAACACTTTTCGGTGAAGTACTTCGGTAGTTAAATTAAAAATTAGTAAACTTGCTTTGATAAATTATATTCTTTTCTTAACAAAATACTACTGGTTAGCCTGAAGTGGTTACATACGAAATTTTTACCCTTTTTACATTTGATTGAAGACATGGTAACATAGAGCCTGGTTAGTCAGTAAAAGGTCTCATGGTCCCTAGTTTGAGTACGAAGTATCATTACTACTCACTATGTTTCCAAAAGTTAGCGTACATCCTCTCACTTAAGTAATGATGTCGATACAGTTTGGTGTTACAAAATAAAGTTGAATATATTATGTTCATCCTCATGCCTATTATCCGTGTTTTTTCCTGTTCACTAGCTGATCAAAAAATATCTACTTCTCAGTTGTTAAAATCATTTCTGGATCAGATGCGTTATTTTCAGAAAGGAGGTAAGATGAGCGTAAGTGATTTTTTATCGTTTATCTTTTGTATTTTAGGATGGCTAGCTCTTAAGGATATGATATAAGGGCGATAATCCTTTGATTTTTTTGCGAGAAACTGAAATTTAGTTTCTCTGTATATTGATAGATCTGTTTTTGGATATAAAGATTTCTGTGGGTAGAAAGTAGTTTCATACAGAAAGTAAAACTTTGTAGAGAAACATGCCTATATGCTGTTTTACAGACCCTTTCAAAAGCTTTAATAACTATTCAAATATAAAAGCTAGATAATTTCCATATTCTATCTGGAGGTTTGTGGAGGTTTAATAATTGATTTTAGGTTGGAATTCATCATGAACTGAAATCAGTTGGAGAAATATTGAAAACCTGGGAGCACTGGACAGCTGTTTCGTCCCACTATGGGACTCCTCAGCAGTGCGCATCCATGACTCGACCAGTCAGGGATGGAACATGGGACCTTCAGGTTTCGTGGCCAATGTTCTTCCAACTATGTCAGTTTATGATGAATTCCAACCCAAAATCAATTAATCAACCTGCATAAACCTCCAGATGGAATTAATGTAGCGCTCATTAGTGACTAGCTTCGAGAGGTGATCTCCGAGGTTCCACTGAGAAGTCGTGACCATTGGAGTCAACCAAGTCGAACATGAAGACAGGTACTCAACGACGACACTAGACTGAGGTCACACCATATCGTGAACTGAAAGAAGTAGGGAATGTGGACGATTGTACGCCGATCCAGTGGCTCAATGGTAACGTACTGGCTACGGAAACTGACAGTGCTGGGTTCGATCCCTGGTTGGTGGGGTCATGAGTGCGTACTACTGAGGAGTCCCATACTCAGACGAAGCAGCTGTTGAGTTCTCCCAGGTCTCCTGTGTTCCTTCAACTGATATCAGCTCGTGATGAATTTCAACCTAAAATCAATTTCCATTTAGATCTGGTAGTTCACATGTTCACATACTAATCATAGATCGACGAAACAATTTGCACTTACTTCTTTGCAGTTTTTACTTTGAATTTACCGAAATGAGTACAGCTGTATGTTTACAACCTTTTATAGTCCACTTGTTGTAAGCTCTTCAATCATTGCAATTTTACTCAACTTGTAGCTTGTGTTTTTTCTTGGGATAGGAATTTTCAGAAGGGATGGTTGTTATGACTTAGCATTTATGTTTAATTCATCTTCCACTTCGAACATTTAAACTACCTTTTATGGTTTATTGATATTATTTTTGTCTGTAGATTTAGAAGCATTCATTCGACCAGTTACCATGTGGATTGTTGTAGGCGACTTGGATATGCATGCAGATCCAAATTTATCTGTGGAACATCGTTCATCTCTTGAAATGGACCTTAACTTAGTACTAAACGCATTAACATATCTTCGTAGTAGTCATTCTACAAAAGGCTTGCGCATCGGTTTATTATTTAATCCATCTGAGTCAACTCAAGTGAAGAATGTGGATAGTTGGTTAACTCGTGTTTTATATCTCGTTGGAAATCCTAGCAGTACATCAAGTAAATCAAATGAAACCAATGAAATAACGAAAACAAAGTATGTTGAACAGATGGCAGCGCGTAACTTTGGCATCCGTGTAATTAAAGAGACACTAGAGGCGATTAAAGCCTCAACATCTCTCAAATCACTTGAAGAGCTTTCAGTTTCGGTAGGTTTTTATATTTGGTAGCTAACAGTTTTTCACATTTATTTGTATGTCATAATGTTTGACAATGTTGTAGCAGGTTTAGGGAATTAAGTAATGCAGACTTATAAATGTCGTCTTCGGCGACTGAAAGCTCGGTCAAATACCAGGAATTTGAAACATGTTCCGCTTGTTGAGGTTTTGGTAGTTAGGTATTATTATTAGCCTTTGCAAAATGGACTTGGCTGATAGTCTTTGATGCTATGACTTGTGGATCTCCGTTGTTGATTAGCCAGGATAGGTCGGTCACTATTAGTATATAGGTTCCTTCTGGGGATGCCTTAATATTGCCGGGATTTTCAAATTTTGTAAATGATGGCTAGTGGCGTGTCGTGGGTTCCACTGCTAACTACTATCTATGATTAATATCAGATTTGACTTATAGCCTCATAAGTGAACCACTACATGGTATCTTTATTATTATTATTATTATTATTATTATTATTATTATTATTATTATTATTATTATTATTATTATTTGTCCCTTGAGTTCCTAATGGAACATAGGGCTTCAGTAGCACGTCTCCAAAGCGCTCTGTTCTCTGAAATCTTTTGAACCTGGCTCCACGACAGCCCACAACCTCTCATTTCCTCCTCGCACTATCTCCTCCATGTCACCCTCGGCACCGACGCCCAACTCGTCGCTCCCCATGGGGATTCCACTCGAGTGCCTGGCCTGGCGTGTGATGTCCCCAGTCGGCCTTCTCAGTGTATGCTCAATCCATCTCCACTTCCTTCTGCATATTTATTGAACGATAGGTTGTTGGTTGGTTCTTTCCCAGCCAGCCAGAGTTCCTTCTTGCTTATTCTTATTATTCTGGCCATCTGATCTTCAGTGTCGAGTGAGCGTAGGCAGTTGTTGATGAATGTCTGTAGTTTGTTGGAAATCCCTATCGTAACGCACCAAGTCTCTGAGTCATACAGAAGCACTGATTTGACGTTGGTGTTAAAAATCCGGATCTTGTTCCACACGTTGAGTGGAGAAGATCTCCACACTGGTTTCAGGCTAATGAACGCCTGTCTTGCTTTTTCGATTCTGACTTTGACATCCTCGTCAGTGCTGCCTGTAGTTGAAACAGTGCTTCCTAGATAGGTGAAGGAGGCTACTTTCTTTGAGTTTCTCCTGTTGATGGTGATTGGAGTTTGTTGTTGTTGTTGTTAGTTGGGTATCTTCATCACCTCTATCTTCTCTATATTCACTTGAAGTCCCATCTTCGCTGCCTCTTCTGTCAACTTGTTAGTTTTCGCCTGTAAATCATTAAGTTTATGTGACATCAGGCACAAGTCATCATTGGCGAAATCCAATTCTTCTAGGTTCTTTTCCGCAGTCCAGCCAGCGTATTCCCCTCTTCTCGCTCCTCACAGTTTGTTGCATGATCCAGTCGACTACTATCAGGAATATCATGGGTGATAGTAGGCAGCCTTGTTTCACTCTTGTCTTCACTTGAAAAGCATCACTGAGGTTCCCATTGTGGATTACTTGGCATGTGACATCTTCATGTAGTTGTTGAATGAGGCTGATAAAGTTTTGGGGTATTCCGTAGTAATGAAGCAGTTTCAAAATTACTTGTTGGTCGACGCTGTCAAAGGCCTTTTCAAAATCGATGAAGTTGAGGTGTTGAGTTGACTGCCATTCTATACTCTGTTCTATGATGATGCGAAGCGTTGCAATTTGGTCTGCACATGATTTGTGCTTCCTGAAGCCAGCCTGCCTGTTCCGGTTGTACTTTTGAATCCAGTACATCTTTTAGTCTCTCCGGGATGGTGCAGCATAATATTTTGCTTTCGTTGGGTGGAAAGGAGAGTGATTCCGTGTCAGTTCTTGCTAAGACTTAGGTCGCCAATTCTTCTTGGGGAGTTTGACAAGGTAGCCCTTCTTCCAATCGCCAGGTACCCCCGCTTCCTTCCACACCTGCAATAGTGGTGTGAGCATGTCCGCTGTTGTCCGCTGTCCTTGTCTGTGTTCAGTGCTTCTGGCGGGATTCCATCTGGTGCTGCTGCTTTGCCACATTTCAGTAGCTTTATGGCGTTCAGGACTTCCACTTTTGTCGGGGTATTTATGTTCACTTGTAGTTCTGTGGCCGGGCTGCAGGTGGTATTTCTGGACAAAGTGCAGGTGGTGGTCGATTCGAGAGCTTTTTGAAGTGGTCGGCCCATTGTTTCCTTTGTTTCTCTTCTTTGGTAATTATATTTCCTTCATCATCTTTATTTGGTTCCATCTGTGTTTATCTCTTCCCTCCCACATAGTAAGTAACCTGGTTATTTGATACAATGTTGTCAGGTCTCTCTTACCTGCAGCCTGTTCTGCTTCACTTGCCAATGTGTCGTAGAAGTGTCTTTTGTCTTTCCGTGCACTCCTCTTCACTTCTTTGTCCAGTGTAGTGTTTTATACATTGTACTCAGTTGCTCTTGTCGTTGAGCATCCTTGCACTGGTTTATCTTCTGTTTCACCATCCTCCTCTCCCTGCTCTATCAGCTTCCATGTATCCATCGAGATCCATTCCTTATCTTCTTCTTCCTTCCTAACACGGTTATACATGTTTCTTTCCACATCTCTTTCAGAGACTTCCAGTGTTCTTCCACACAGGTTTGTTTAGGGATGTTCCTCGATATCTCCCATTTTGTCTTGATGGTTGACGTGAAGATTTCCTATGTAGTTTCGTCTTTTAGTTTCCGGGTGTTGAACCTGAACTGAGGTCTATCACCAACTTCTTTGAAGGCTTTCAACTTGATTTGAAAGGCTGGTTCCTTGCACTAGATAGTGAGTGGTGTGAACCTACATCTGCTCCTCTTGTTGACCTTGTGTCCAGTAGACTGCGTCTCCACTTTCTTGAGATTGAAATGAAGTCTATCTGATGTTTAGTGTGTCGTGGTGTGTGGTGAAATCCATGTCGCTTTGTGAATATCCTTGTGTTTGTACACAGTGCCTCACTGCAATCACCAAGTCGTTAAATGCACAGAATTCTACAGACAATTCTCCATTCTTGTTCATTTCACCGAGCGCTTCTCGGCCCATGGTTAGTTCTCTTCCTGTGTTATCCGCTCCCAGTTTGGCATTCATGTTGCCCCACCCATTAGAATTTTGGTGTCGCCAACTGGGATGAGGTTCTGTCCAGTGTTGATTGAAGTTGTCTGTAGAATTCCTCCTTTTTCTCTTGCTCTGCATTATTTTTAGGTACATAGCGTAGCGTATCATTGTATAATTGTGACCTTCCTTCCTTTTGATTTCAATTTTGCTGTCATGATCCTGATCCTGGAGGATGAGATTGTTTCCCACTTTATGAGAGCCTTCAGTGCGCTCGGGGACATCATGATAGCCACTCGAAAACTCAGTGTACTCATGGTTGTCGTCTTGGTGACAATATTGGAATAGATTATTGATTCTTAAGTTGACAGTTTAGAGAGTCCACACCCATTCCATCTGCTTTCGCAAATTCCAAGCACTTCAATGTGATACCTTCTCATCTCTTTTGCAATCTGCGCTGCCTTGCTGGGTTCAAACATGGTGCGGACATTCCATGTCCCCACGTTTACCTTCGCTTTCATCGAGAGAAGACACATCTGCCAATTGGCTTCCTGAAGGCAGGCTTTCACCAACTGGCGTCATTTCGTCTCTCCGATTCCAGCGAGGAATAATTTTGTTATTATTTTTTATATATCGTTTGTGCTTTGAGGTTTCTTCAGCGGTTAGATTTATTTTACGGCGTAGGGTTGCTAGCCCTATGCCCAACCTTCCCTGTTTACCCGGGTTTAGGACCGGCTAGTAACTAGTGAACTAGTTAACCAGGCGAGGTTACATGATATCTTAGTTACTTATAACGTACACTTGATATCCAACCTTTTTATTTGAAATTCTGTGTAATTTTTCCTCTTCACATCTGTAAAATGTTCAGAATATGGATTCGAAAAAGATACAAGCTGCTCTCCAGAGATTTGACAAAAACAACTTTATGCAAATGCATTCGTCTGTTGCCAGTCGGATTATTGGTCTTCAGCCTGGTGAACGAGCTGTTGTGGTAAATGGTAGAGTAAGTTTAAATTTGAAGTATAGTTATGCTCATTTTAATTGATTTATTAAATGCGTGATACAGTGACACAGTAATATTTACTGGATTGTCAGGTGAAACACATAGGTCAAAGAGTAATCAATCAGGGCCATTCACGCTGTCTAAGCACTAAAGCTTAGCTAAATCAAGATTCCTAGACCCCAGTAAGATAACGAATCTAAAAGAAACCTCATCTGTAGCCTTTGCATGCAATTACACACAACCACACAGTGTGATGGGTCCTTAAAACATAACCCTAAGGGGATGGAGGGAGAGATTGATAACCAAGTGTTAATTTATGGAATCAACACCGACCACGTGCAACAGGAATGACTGTTCCAAACATATTCCAGATGTATAGAAAATTCGACTATCTACATCATGAAGAAGGATAGAGAATTAGAACTATGCAAATCATGTCTCAAATCTGTGGAGTCATCTTCATATGACTGTAGACAATAGTGTTGGGAATGTAATCCAGTAAGTCATAGTGTTCCTCTGTGTGATACATGCAGTGAATTAACTGAAAAGGAATTATATCCTACTACAGTCTCTACGGTTTACTCTTTCTTATATTAACGCCAAATTTGTCCGTAATACTAACATGCATTTTAATATTTTGTAGGTTTCAATATTTCATGAGGATTATTGTATCAATTCTTCAAATATCAAACTACAGAATTTTTTTCTCGCGTACCTTTATGGAAATGAATTCAAGTTTTGATTTACGTCATGCTTAGTGACCTTTTACTATAATCGCATTTCGTCTTTTAAAAATGGTTACACACGAAGCAACAGTTTCATTGTGTAGCAAATTTTAACGATTGCTAAATAAAGTAAACACCTGCGATCAATGTGCACGCCTATTTAACAATATAGATGCTTCACATTCTGCTCTCAGATGTGAAAAAGCATAGTTGTGTATGAAATTGCATAGCGAAATATTCAAATAAGGAGGACAATAGATCAAACACTAGATCACCAATCTTTTGGTCTCAGGTTCAAACTACATCTACTTTGATTATAACAACCAGTAGGGGTTATATGTCTTTACACTTAAGGTTCGAATAATGATTGTCAATTACATAAATCTATATCAGGTCACCGAGGTGTGTCATAAGTTATTATGCAGTTATAAAAAATACCTTTTTGGTATAATCAGGATATGTTAAAGTCCACTAGTAGTTGTTCACATGTTATGAGAGCACATTATATTCCATCGTTTAGAGGCAAAAATGTCAAGGTTTAACATTTTCTTATCTTTTTCGCACAATTACATTTTCGTTCTATCCAACTTCAGATTTTAGGTCCATTGGAGCCGCTGGAGGAGTTTTTAGGGGAGGATTTTCGTTTAGCAGAACGTATGGCATTGAATAATGGAGCCAAAGAACTTGGTGATACTTTGCAAAAGATAATTGGCACAACATCAGACAGCCCTAACACTATTTCTGAACTCACATGGCAAATGTCTTCAGTTCTTCAATCGGGTATTGAGGCTACTGGTTCAGTTATATCAGAAACGGTTAGTTTAGCGCATATACATGCCAAATCTTCCTCGTCATATTCGTACATTCATCATTATTCTGTTGTATTTCTTGGCTGAGAATGTTACAGCAAAGGGTTTGACTAAATAATGTTGTATATGTTTTCTTTTTAAGACCTCAACATTCGTTCAAACGGATGAAGGAACCATAAAACATATGCGAGTTGATCTCGATTCCTTTGTAGCAAGCACGCGCACTTTTGTGAAGTAGGCAATGAGGTGTACCTATTGTTAGGGCTGTTGATGCTACTTGACTGCCTGAAACTTCCGTAGGTGGTGCAGAGTGGGAACCTCTGATCTAGTGACGATAGGTTGAATGGTTTGATCAATGTGTTCGTATTTAAAGGCAGTTCTGTCTCTCTGATATCAAGTGGTAATTTCAAACCAATAGCATATTATATTCAGCTGAGGTTATAAAAATGGAACATATTAGTACAGTATCGTTGTTAAGCCTGAAAGCAGTTAGCTTTCTTGACTTTCATACCGTTATCTGTAAGGATCCTGACAGTGGTTCATCATGGCACTGAAACATTGTGCAGTATTTTCTGAGGATCAATAACAGCTGGAGGTGAATCTATCTGCTAAATCTTCTTTATGTGAGTCCTAATTTCCAACCATTGTTTGTAAATGAAAGAATAAAACAAAGCAGAATCTCGTACTGAATACTAGTGTAAAGTCGTTGATAGGACGCTAATGAACAAAATATGTTTCTTCGCTCAACCCACTTTCTTTACACTGAATTGCAGCATTCTTTGGCAGATATACAAAATCAACGTAGAACCTTGGACATAAGTGCATCGATTCAAGTTGCCGCACTTCACAGTAGTATACAAAGGACAAATAGATAGCGAAGACACATTCAAGTAGACAAAGGTGTATAGTGAAGAGGATATTTAAGAATTAAAGTCGGTCAAAATATTCAAACCTTAGAAGACATCAAAAAGTAGATACATCTGCGTCTTTTCGACCAATTTCCAACCAGTTCACCAAGAGTCCCTAACCTTTCATTCCTATAGTCTCCAGGGCCTCAGCCAGGTAGTCTACACCTACCTTTACGGCCAACAGCCAGGGACTGGTACCATATCTTGATTTGGCAACCCCGAAACCTCTTCTAACCTAATCCAACTTCCCTTAGCGGGGTACGTCAGTCGATGAAGGTCCAAGTTGCCATTACTTCTCACTGTGTAGACCGCGAAAACTGACATAGCCTAGATGTGTTGAAGTGAGTTATGGTAGTGATGACAGTGAAACTAATGATCAGAATGCAAATTCGTCGTTTCTGACTTTACATGTTCTGTTTGGTTGAAGACTCTAGGTGATATGGCTCAGAACCGATTTCAGCGGCGCAGTTGTATACACACATTATCCTCATCTTAACACTACTGAATCTCATCATTTTCTCATGCTTCTTTTCTCTCTTTTAGTACTTTATGTTTCTCATGACTGAATTTTTATTTCTTCATCTTCCACTTCCTTTTTACTTGATGTACTGATATGAGGTGTGGCAACTTGGACCGTTACGCACTAATGCCCCGGTCCTATGTTGGTTTAGATGATGATGTCATTTTCCGTTGGCATTGTAGGAAATCGCACTGTCTACGAACAATCACTTACGCTATACCCTACTTATATGATTGTACGTTACTGGTATTAGTTATAACTGTTCTCATGATATTTTTTTCAATAAATTCCATATTTATGGGTGATTGATGCAAATGGATTTTAAAATTATTATTTTTATTTCTAGTCTTCAGTAGATGGGATCTCCGATAAAGCTCAGAATGGACGTAGAATGCGTCTGCGAGATGTGACTTACGATCATTCAGGATTCATCATTCAAGGAAATGAAAGTGAACCAAATTTTGAATTAGTAGCTATAATGGACCCGGCTTCTCGTGATGCCCAACGTTTGTCCCATATACTTATTGTATTACAACATTCATTACCGTGTACCGTAAAAGTTTTGCTGAATCCAACGCATTCCTTATCAGAATTGCCAGTTAAGAGGTTTGTTTAAATTTTTTTTTACTAAATTCTCTAGAGTATTTGTGATTGAAATATGTAAATGATTCTCCAACAGTGTGAAATGATCATATTATCTTTGAATTCTAATATAAACTTGGTGTAGCTTGAAAACCAGGAGATTCTCATTGCAAAACTTAACGATCTTATGACGATTTAATGAATGGGGTGATTGATTCTGGTTCAAATAACCTTAAGTTTCCAACCGTTGATTTGGTTTTTTCGTAGACTCCAATAAAGGGATTTAAACTTCTCTACTTGCCTTAGAAAATTAGTAGTTATTGATCACGCTGGCCACTGTGTTTTTGGCTTCTATAGCCATAAAAAAACTGAAATTCTTCTCATAACGCTTCATCCAATGTTTTGAGCTTCTGTATTAAAACACGACTGGAATCTAAAAAGATACACCGAGAGATCTTTATGTAAACCAATAGTTTTCGCTAAGTTTTAAGCTATATGCATACTCCCTTACTCCACATCGGTTCGTAATGTGGCTGTAATTCAACCATATGGATGCCCGATTTTAAAGTATTTGTTCACAATTTTGAACACTATTTTGTTTATTTGTAGTTCAACTAATGAGTAGTTTGTTTGATTGAGTTTAAATTATTCCTTCATATTATACATGCGGTATTTGTAGTAGCTTAAGTGTTAATGTTGTTTGGCTATCACGCTATTATACCTCGTCTTCCTAAAAGTAAAAGCAATTTCTGTTTCATTACTTTTAATCATAACTTTCTTTTTGGTCCAGTTTTCTTCTTCTCCAGTTCAAAACAAATTATATGTATTAATGCTCATTATAGTATCCTAACAGTATAATGCAGAGTTATTTGAGAATATTTGATAAACTGTGTGAGATATACCATTGACTAATAGGTGTATTTGTAGATCCATAACTGAACGAACGGTCACTTAGCTTTCCCTAAGCCGAGTTCACCAGCAGGGTACTCAAATTTGTTCTTCTCGGAGATTCGAATCACTGAAATCACTCAAATTCTGACCACTCACTTGAGAGAAGTGCTGATAGTCATACCAGTCTGTAATCTGTTTCGTGCAGCTTTTATGGTCGCAGTTTTTATGTCATTTTTCGGTATCGAACGTATGCATATTTTTGTTTCCTAATAAGCCACGGTGAAATTTCACATATTGGTCCCGCCAAATTGTTTTATTCTTACTAGGAACTGTATATTTTGCCTGAACCTGTTTTTATGTTATTTCATAAACTTTATGATGCTGTTAACTGCTCTTTCTTCAACTTTCAACCACTACCTTTTTTGGAAAAGAAACTGATGTTTTATGATTGGTGTTTTTAGTTTCTATCGCTTCGTATGGGAACCATCACTATTTCCAAAAAATGAATCTGCTCATGTTGATTCTGCTATCTCTCCTCGTGCCTACTTCACCAATTTACCTGGACAGTCATTACTTACTTTGGGAATGGATGAACCACACGGCTGGATGGTTGCTGCTGTCGAAGCTGTACAAGATTTAGACAATTTACGTTTGATTGATTATCGATCCAACAAACATTTAGTAGAGGCTGTCTTTGAATTGGAACATCTTTTACTTGAAGGTCATTGTATTGAAGAGGCAAATATGAAACCCCCACGTGGACTTCAGTTTACCCTCGGTCCGACACCAACTACTACATCATACGATACAATTGTTATGGCTAACTTGGTAAATCTAAAGCATTGTACTGTTCTTTCCTGATATGACTTTAGGAAGTTAAACAATAGAGACGTACAATATCACTTAATATCTAACCAGTTACCCTATTTTATTATTAATGGGCTTGCTGTCATGTGTATATTATCATCATTGAACACTTCTTTTTATTTATATCAAATGTATGATCGCCTATATATATATATATATATATATATATATATATATATATATATCCTAGTTGGGATGTCAGTACATTTATTTATGAAGAATGATGCTCACAAATCAAAGTAAGTTAATTCAGCCTTCAGGTTGCAGCAAGAAAGATTTATGATTGCAGTTTCCACTTGAGAATATATGCTTACAAGACACAGAAAATACGTATTTTCACACAGAACACTATAACACCTGGGAATAACTTTTATGGAGTATAACAATATCCTCTAGATTACTCAAAGAAGCCTGAAAATCCCTGAAAAATCCTCATAGCCAATCATAACATGTTGAAGGGTGGGGCCAAAAGTTATCTCCAGGTGTTATATTGTTCTGTGTGAAAATACGTATTTTCTGTGTCTTATAAGCACATATTTTCAAGTGGAAACTGCAATCATAAATCATTTTTCCTGCAACTTGAAGGCTGAATTAACTTACTTTGATTTGTGAGCATCATTCTTCATAAATAAATGTATTTACATCCCAACTAGGAGGTGAAAGTGCAACCAATACTTTACACATGAATAAACGGAATGAAATATGATTCAATAATTGAGAGTGTTTTAGAAACTATAAAAATGGGTAAAATATATATACTGCTTTCAGAAAATACACGAATTTGCGCACAGAACGCTATATTTTATAACAAGTGCGATAAAACCTGGGGATAACTTTAAGTCTCATCCTAAAAAGGTGTGTATAGATGAAACTTTGAAAACTGACAAATGAATTTCGGATTCTAAGTGAAACAGCATTTAGTCAGTTAAGTTTATAGTCGATAGAATAATTTTATCTTGACTGTACTGTAGCCAAAGATTATCAGTAAATATCATAAAACTCAACTTCATTTCTCTTTAGCTATCCTCTCATGATAGCTGCTTATTATGCACTGGAGCTCAAAACAGTCATCTGAAGTTGTGCTGTTGCATTGTGACACGGGTGGTGTATATACTCTACTTGCCAGCAGTGCATCGACTATAAATTCCACGCCATATATTTCACCCTAGGCTTCTAGGTGGTATATCACACATGTCTTGATTTATTAAGTCTGTCTCAGTCTTATACACAAATCTCCGCAAACATCATTTGCCTTTAGTATTCCTACTAATCTGCATTAGTTCTCTCTAGGGATGAGTAGGCGAATATTCAAGTTTGTAACGAACTTTGATGGTAAGTCCTGTCGTCTGAAATTTATACATACCTCAATTTGTTTCATATCGTTTTGTCTGTTGAACAGGGTTACTTCCAACTTAAAGCCAATCCAGGTGCCTGGTATCTGAATATCCGAGCAGGGAAATCACAAAAGCTTTATGAAATATCTGGGTAAGTTTCTATAGTTTTCCCTATTTTATATAGCATTACTCAATTTATCACAAACAAGTTGCGGTTGTCATTTGAAAAAAGTGTTTACTTGTTTTTGATGTTAGTTTTTTAGTCGCCTTTATCGCATGTAGTTGTTAGTGCGCATAGAATATTTGGTAAATATTTCCTCTTGTCGTGAGCATTGTCGATAGTTAAGGTTAGTTTCTAGGTAACAGCGGTAAATTATTTGATTAACTTTCTGTTCTGCATGGGAACTGATGATCATGGTATGTGGCATGCATTTTACTTCACTGTCAAACATTTTCGTCTTGGTTGATGAAAACACTGAACGCGTTGTACGGAAATCTGAGTATTTTTGGCATGCATTTCGCTTTCGTCAGATGTAAGATAGTGCTCCAGGACTGGTCCATAACCACTTCGAGTTTGATGATAGGGAGTAAAGTGATGGAATGTACTGACCACTTAACTTACTTGAGAAGTTGCATCAGACGAAACGGGTTGGTTTCTAACGAGATCTCAGCACGGATACAGAAGGTCCGTTTGGCATTTACCAACTTGCGTCACCTCTAACACCGGCTGACGAGATATCCGACAACTCGTTAGAGTATGAGTATGCTTCACTGCAGTCTGTTCTGTCCTGTTATACGACTGAGACATAGCCTTTGAAAGTAGAAGATATGAGGAGACTACGAGTTTTCGACTTTCAGTGTCTTCTTAGCATTGCTCATGTACACCTGAGTGTATGCAATTCACATGCGTAGCTAACAACTAATTTCGTACACCAGATACCACCAACTCCAAATATCAAACGAAAATGGAGAGAAGATTGGTCTAGATAGTATAGTTTATTGCCTCCAAGAATATTCAAAATAACTCAAAACACGCTTCTATTCATACATGGTACATGGTCTTATCCAGAATTTGGAGCATTAGCATGGTAAAAGCAAGCGTTAATCATTTAGTGAATCCCCGTAAGAAGAGGGGGGGGATGAACTACTACTCATGGCGTAAAAATGGCACCAAAAGGATAATTAAAAAGTGTACAAATTAACAAATACTGTTTCGTACAAATCTGGAGCCTCTCAACAAGTGGAATCATTATGTCAGCATTATCGAAGTTAGGCAAAAGGTACTGGGTGAGGAAGAAAGGTTGACTGATAAAGTTGTTAACCTTCAGCGACTCAAGTGGTTTGGTTATGTGATGCAGATGCCGAGTCATGACCACCTATCTGGGCATGCAATGCTAGGAGAAGTTGGATTAGTTTTATATAACTCCAGTCGCGACTCCTATATACCCTTATTGTCACTTGTTATATTCTTGAACCGATGCACGAGTGTGGAATGTTTTACGTTGATTTTGCCAGTCAGTCAGCCAATCAGAATTCATCAGATTCAGGTTGGGTATGAATGAGCAGTTTTTCTGTTTAGACGTCTACGGTTTCTTCTTGGAATGCTAGTTTAAACATTTAGCTTTTACAAATTCATTTTTCCGATAAGTTCAAAATATTTTCTCATCACTCTTTAATTTTACATTTGATGATTATACTGTTGTCTGTGTTAATCTATGGATTGTAGTATTCACCTTTAGGCATTGGGAATGTGTATAAACCAGTAAACTTCATAATCAAGCTACTTAGCGGAGTTGTGGCTCTCTGACTGAAGCGTTCGATTCTGGGTTGGAATCGTGCTTCATCTACTTCGACCTGGGCAACCGGGTTGTATCGTAAATGGTGACTCAAAAAGTGTAGCTCGTAGCATAGTATGTATACGCTTAAGCAGGTGGAGTCGCATTATTAGTTGCAAGCGACTTAACGCATATATATTCGATTAACTTGAAGTATTTGTGTCATAACAATGTGAAACTGCGAGAAATTTGCCTGTTACACTTTTTCTAACTTATACAGGAGCATAGTTATGTAAAAACGGAAGCTGTTCATGGTAGTTGCGCATTTGATTCCATCTTCTGATCAACAATAGTCTTCCATCGCTTATTTCTTTATCCGAACTTATTAACTAATTCGTATATTACAGGATACTTATTTTGAACATTCTTTTATCATTTTGTTAATAAATTATTAATTACAGCCAAGAACATACTGACTCTCCATCAAATTCAAGTGAAATTATCACACTGATCAGTAATTTCCGTTCAAAGATAATCGGAGTCTATGTATCTAAACGTGCAGGACATGCTGGTGAAAGTATGCTAGATGACACTTCTGATGAAACAACTTCCAATAGTTGGTTAAATAAACACTCTGAAGTGTGGTCTACTTTGTCAAATTATGCCGAAGAATATCGTCCATCATGGTTGACTGGGTAAACATATTTTTGTTTACATATTCTGAGAGTTTTCTTTTTTTTTTTGTGGGCATCATCGATCAGTGTATCATTGAAGCACAATTTCCACGACAATTTGGTATCAGCTAGAGTCACTAAATGCCATGGAATACTGTGATTTTCCGACATAACATTCAAAAATCTATGGAGGAAAGTGTTGGACTGTCAGTTTCCATGGAGAGCAAGTTGTCATTTATTCGCTGGGTTTTTATCTATTGGCTTTGGGTTGGAGTTTCTATCAACTCTTGATAGATATAGGGAGATCATCCTATCTCAGGAATGTGCATTCATCCTGCATCTAACTTCGTTGACCCCACAGACCAAGGTTCCCTTTGAAACATATATTTCATATAATTTTATCCCGATGTTAACAGTTTAAGATGGTGTAAAGCAGTTTTATGATTTAGTTGTGTATACTTGTTGTATTTTTCTTTTGATCATTTTTTCCTAGTTGAAATTATCTCTTTCAAGTTAACTCTACTCTTTCGTCTTAAAGCTATTAACTTAGGAAAACTTAAGCACTGCATTTGTTGTCCACTGATTAGGCACAGTTTCTTCATGATGTTTTACCAGCTTGCAGCTAAATCAATCATGCTGGATGATTAAAACAATTGATAAGGGTTAAAGCTTTTCTTTACACTTGGAGAAATTCTTTATTCCTCTTGCATTTTGACGTGATTTATTCGTATGCCTCTTCCTAAGTTTTAAATGTATTTAATAGATAAGATACGAAACATGGGATCATAAATTTCTGTTGATTATATCATATTGTCCAACGCCAAATATGGTTTATCTCAATACTCACCGCGACATGTGTTACGCATGCCCAGTCACCGTCTATCCTGGCTGCACAATATTGTCTGTGGTAGGTTTTGGCCGGATTAAATCATGGTATCAGTGCATGAAATCTTTGACTGTTGGTTTAAGCTGTATATGACAATATAAACTCAGTCGGGGTCTACCTCACAACAGAAACTTGCAGCTGGAGATGGAGACTTTAAGTGATATGGCTTGGAATTGGTCTTTTTGACTCAACTGTATCTACACATCATCTCCATTTTAATCGTCATACTGAATTCAATATTTTCTTATTCCACTTGTTATCTTATCATGACTTTCTACCACTTTTGATTGCTTCCTTCGTTATTTCCTTAAATTTCATCTTAATATCTTCTCACTTGATGTGGTGATGTGAACCACTACGCAGTAATGCTGGTGTTATAGTGTGGAATAAGACTGCCATACTCTTCATAAAAAGCCTTAAATCCGTAGAGCTTTCTACAACCAATCATACTGCGCCGAAGTTTCAAGTGAAAGCACATGAATCAACGTGTAAATATCAAATTGGTTGAAGGGAGAAAAATCAATGAAATATTCGAATCTGGAAAAGGAGTAAAAATAGTCAAGGCCATTGTAGATATATATAAACCCTTGCATTTTGTATATATTTCGAGGTTACCATTCACCTCCTGTTGCTGTTATCTTGCCGTCTTTTCCATTTATCGAGAAACTGAGCTATTATCAAGGGGTGGAATCTGAAGGTTATTGTCCAAGCGTCCACCTATATGTAGCTGAGGTTCTATCAAGTTATAAAAGCCTGGTCATGTGATGATCTTGTATGTCTATCTATCATCTCAATATCAAGATACTCCGTTCAAGCCACAACCTTTAGAACGTTACCTATGATTTCTAATCGATATTAAGAAGCAAGACTATTACACAAGATACTATCTGATGAAGTGTATAAGCGTTTCTTTATTTTGAAACCCAATCGTCTTTTAGTTTGTTTTTAGTTCACAACAAATCTGTTTTGATTGTAAAAATCCAACTAATCGTTGTTACTGTACACCTACTTTTATCAAAGGTTTTCATAAGTATTTCGTAGGAGCTATTCAGTATTACCTGTATGTCAGTCGTTTTCAGCATGAATTTACATTCACGTAACGTATCATGTCTGCATCCAAAATTTTGTTCAGAACACAGTGTTACTTTCTATGCATCACTATTGTAATACGTTCATTGTTTATGTAATGTTACGTTCTACTTCCTTTTTTGTTATTATCGTTCAGTCGCTTATTTCTCACTTACATTGAAGGCAAACAGTTACTATCACTACGTTAAATAAAAGGAAGAAAAATAAACGATTGGTTCTAAATGTTTCAAGACTCTGTGTTCAAGAGATCTGTATCAAACAGTGATTTTTATTTCTTTTTTCATCTTTCATCTTATTGCTTTGATGTTCTGATATGAAGTATGGCAATTTGAACTGTTAGGTAGTAATGCGTAGTCCTGTATTGGTACCGATGATGTTTTTTTTGGAATAAATATCAACTGTATAGCTTTACACTGAATGCTTATTTCTGCATAGTTTAGTAAAATGGATAGTTGTGTACCTGTCAATGCATCTAATTTACTAGTTTATTTGTTTATCTTATGTATTGTTCATTCTATGGAGATGTAAACCAACAAATTTAATTTGAGGCGTAAATAATACATAAATCACTAATAACACACCCATTTTAGAATTTCTAAACCACAAAATTATGTTGTACTACTGATTAGCACTAATTAAGATATGGTAACAAAAGAATAAAGATGTAAATGTGTCCTCCGTTAATTCAATGAAAATTTAAGTTAAATGATATGTGCATGCAGATCAGTCGCCAGATAGTAACTATGATAATTGCTCTATAATTTATTGACCAAGGGTGCGAACTTGCCTCGTTGGTGAGTGCGAACGAACGTGAAATCGAGATTACGTAGTGTTTCTTCACGATTGTTGACCAACATCCGACACTACAGTCTGAAGAATCATGATAATGAATCTTAAAATGTCAGATGATATGGGTTCACCTATATTATCTGTTTCACAAGTGACTTTAAGAAGAATATTTCTCGTATTCCGATTATAATTATCTGTACAGTCTACTCTATGTTACATTTCAACGATTTAATTTCTGATCTAAAGTTATGCAATTTGGTGATGAAGTGGTGCTTATTATACTTGAGTGACTGATCGTTTTTCAAAAATGAGTGACTGACTGGAACACCGGGTGACTCGTGTTCGAATCGTAGGCGGGACATCACTTCCCTCGAGGTTGTAGATACTCCTTGCTGACGAGTGCCAACAAGCATGAAACCTAGGTCAGACAGGACTTCTTGCCGATCGTCTCCAACCAACTAACACTGGAATGTTACTTACCACTATTGTAAAGCTGTATCGATGAGAATGTGATACTAAATTCGAAAAATGAACTTGGTCAGGCATCTATTCCACAGGTTATCCTTGGAAAGATATTTCAGCCACAGTTATTTTGTTATCTCAGGGTTCCGTTATATATTATTTGAAATAGTTTGTGGCAGGGTTGCCACCAGCGACTGATTAGACAACTCTAGTCAGTGACAAATATAAATTTTAGTAATTTATTGTCTGTGATCAGTTTAACTGCTCACCTTGTAAAATTTATAGAATCAATGTATGAAAGGCAAATAAGTAGGCAGAGATCTATGATTATGTGTTGAGATTTCAGTGGAACAACAAACATTCAATGGGAAATAGGTATGTCTAGTTGGCAAAATTAACAAGTACATAACGTATGTTTCGAAACTCATTGATGTAGATCATCCGATAGTACGTAAGGCTGTAGTTTGCTTATTAAAAGCTCATGAATGTATATTCGTTTTATTTTGATTACACGTGGAATGGATCGTGTGAATAGCAACTATATGTGTTGTACTTACTTTGCTAACTTCGTGAGGTCTGGTTGTTTTTATCTACACTAAAAATTGATAGAGAAGTCTATTGAGTTTAAAAAGAGATTTCATTTTGCTGTTAGTGTAAATATGAGTAGTAGAAAATTACAGAAAACAGTACCGCCTAACTTGGAAGTACGATGATTTATAACTGCTCCATTTTGTTGGATGAAATTTATTTTAGACGGCTGAAAGTGGTTATTTTCTTGAAGATCGAATAAACTTAGTTGTTTAATCTGTTTTCTTGATTTCAATTTATTCTAGTTACCGTTAATTAATGCAATAAGCTTTGCTTATTTTTTAAAGCTTAAAACGGTCACTTCAAGCACATTTACCTTGGGGTAAATGTACTTCGAATCAAGAAACTATCAATATCTTCTCCGTTGCATCTGGACATTTATATGAACGATTATTGAGGTACGTTATATGTTGTTTACATGTTATAAGAATTGATCATCATGATGACTATGAAACACTAAATACTCGACTTCCAGTCGGAGAGTTAAGGGTTTGAATTTAGCTCCACCTGCAATGTTTCAGAAAGTTGCATAGTATTACTTAGCCATTTACAAATAGACCGGATCCTCCAAACTTATATGTAGTTTCAATGTGGTATTCATCATAGACCAATGTCAGTTGGGAAATCACTAAAAACCAGGGGGCACTGGACAGCTGTTCCTTGCAAGCATCGCACTCCCTAGAGGTGCTCACCCATGACCCCAACCACGCATCAATCACAGGATCTCCAGGTTTTTTGAAGTGTGCAGGTTACCATTGAGTTCACATTTTCCTACTTCTCGCAATTCACCTGTGTAATTGATGAGTTGTATTCTAACAGTTAACTGTATTGCAACTTAACGAATTAGACGGTTCACGGTTATTAAATGCTAAAATTATTACTGGATTTATTGTGTATATTAAGAAAATTATAAGTGATATTTTCAAATAGTGTGTGCTTGTAGATTTGTTCTATTTTGTTTGTTGGCATTACTCGCACATATTGACGTGTGAAGATTTTTGTTGGCTCTTATCTCTTGGTTCCATTGAAGTTTATTTGTTTAGAATGTCTTCAGAGTACATGTCTAACGAGTATTCCTATAAAGAAGTTTTCCATAGCCGAAGTATTTCATATCAAGTTGAAAGTGTCTGTGAGTTTCTGTTGAGATACTAAGTTGTCAGGCTTTGTCCAAACGTTACAGTGTACTTGGATACTTAAGCTTGATGTAGGAGAAAGGAATTATCTGCAGAACTTTTGTTTGCTATATATATATATATATATATATATATATATATATATATATATATATATATATATATATGTATATATATATATATCCGATTATTGGATATCTAGAAACCTGACAACTTGTGATCGCGTTACTGGGTTCATGATATGATGTTCTGGGGTTGTACGTATTTTAATATTGTTCACTAATAATCGAAAAAAGACCATACAGTCGAAGTTTCTACATATTTCGGTGCATTGAAAACATATTTTAAGCACAATACGTATCTTCGGTAAATTCTCTTCAGCCTTTACACTATTACATTTACAGATTCTTCAGCATAGTTACTTGAAACCAGTATGGTTAGTAGAATTTGGTTGCACGACTTAAAGGATAACAATATAGGCGATAATGATACTGGCAAAATCTCGCGAAAGTTTGTATGATCTCAGAAGTCGATCATTGTGTTTGTTTGATGTCTTCCAAAGCTTGAATATTTGAGCTAACCGTTATTTTCAAATTGTTTATTCTCTCACACAACTTTATCTACTTTGATACTACTCTTTTCCTATCCACCTTTTCTTTGCATAAAAGCTTTGAAGTGTGGTAACTTGGACCGATACAATAGTGTGCAAGGTTCTACGTTGGCTCCGTCTGTGAGTGGACCGTGTACGAGTATAGGGATAAAGGGTAATAAATTATTGTCGCATAGCAACTGCATCATACTAAACTTCAATTCTTAACCGTCTGTGAAACTAAAATCAAAATCTTAATTTGAAATTAAAGTGGAGTGTCTAAATAATGTAGATAACGAATAGCAAAAATGTTAATACACGCTTTATAAACTATAGAGACATTATTTCAGTCATTTTCTTCTAGAAGTTGGAGATTCCAGTCTTATCCGGTACCCTTGTGACGCTTGAGTTTAACACTGAAACAGAAAGCTTGGATAGGATTGAAGTCATGAAATGGTTTGTCAGCCTTCCATCGCTCGTATAGCACAGAAAACTTACTTTACAGTTTTTCATTCATTTGTGTTGATTTAAAAGTTACTTAGTAAAATGTAATGGCAAAAACGTGTATTAAGATCATATTCCGTTATCCTAACACCTTTAGTTATGTGCGTGTTTACGATGAATTGTGGCTTGACACCACCGAAGTTATTCAGTTTTATGAAGTACGCCTTCTTTCTACAGTTGATTGTACAGTTTTACCGAATTTGCAGCTTACTGTAATAAATAACCTGTATGAAAATTAGACTGTTGAATTATTTTGGTTTTTTTTAAACATTAGTTCATATTAATTTTAACTTTCCCTTTGAAATCCAGAATCATGATGTTGACTGTGATTCGTCATACAAATTCACCGGTAAAATTTTGGTTTTTAAAGAATTATCTCTCACCGACATTTAAAGATTTTATCCCATATATGGCAGCTGAATATGGCTTTGAATATGAATTTGTCCAGTATAAATGGCCACGTTGGTTACATGCTCAAACTGAGAAACAACGTATTATATGGGGTTATAAAATTCTCTTCTTAGATGTTTTATTCCCCTTGAATGTAACAAAAATTATATTTGTAGATGCTGATCAGGTAGGTTATATATTTCTTCTTTGTTTTTCTGATTGAAATAGTTGCATTTCATTTACAAAATTTAATCAACTTTCAGTTCGGTGTGCTATATTAAAAACCCATTTAGAAATATCCTACGCACGTGGTGGATATATGAATGTAAATATAACCACTTGACCTGTAATAAACCTGAACTGTGCGAAGTATAGGGAATATGGAAATCGTTCATTCTGTTTCAGTATCAATGAAAGACCTAACCGAGAAAGCAGAAAAGGACCTAATCGTCTTACTAAATTGAGAGATGACGGATACATTTCATCAACCTTATTTGAAAATTTAAGGCTTATAGGCGGCACGATTCCATGGATGTATGATTTACCGAAAATACACAAACGTAAGGTGTCTCTTCACCCTATCCTAGACATAACCAACTCGCTAAGTAGCTAATATGATCACTTCAAACCTTTAAGGGACCAGTTAGCAAAATATAGCGTAAAAGAGACACCTTTCAGTTTATAGACAAAATAAAAACTTGAATGTTTTAAATAAATGCATGGCATCCCTAGATGTCACCTCTTCGTTTATTAACGTTCCTATAATGGAATCCGTCGATTATATTTGTCAACAATTATTGGAAATGAAATTAGACACTTGTATTATGATTATGAATTTGAAAGAACTACTGTTAAAATGTATAATGAATGTTCAGTTCATCTTCAACACTAATCTGTACGGATAGGTTGACGGAGTCGAGTTGCATATCATTCAGTAGTCGGTCAATGCTCAATCGGATAGCCTACCGAATCTTAGCTCTTCATCTTGCCTATATCAGTTTAACTGTTCCTGTGGAACTAGTGACATAAAGCGTACGATACGGGATGGGGGAGCGTTTACCAACGTGGTTCGGAAAGGGCGAAGTGAAAGTGGTGAAAGGTTCAGTCCTAGCACATCTAGTCAGTACAAGGCATCATACAGATTCTAATTAAGCTTTCAATGTCATTCGCCGTGTTCCATAAACGACACCACATGTAGCTTATCAACACCTCAACATGGCGGAGGCTGTCGCCATAAGATTGATCAAGCCTGAACTCTGGATTCAGAAAGAACATGTCCAAACGTTACTTCCTCCTTGGCTTTACGTAAACTAAAGGCCACTCCTGCCATCTTATTCGTTATCTTTTTGTTCACCTCCATATCATTCATCAGTATATGTGTCGTCTCAATATTGACTAATTTAAAAAAGATAAACCGACTTCCTTACAATCCCAAAATCTCATTCCATTTTGAAAATGTACCTGCCCCATAACATGGCTTGTTTTTACGCTGTACAAATGCATTTTATAATCGTAGAACCTATAGAGAACTTATTAAAGAGAACATTCTTCGTTTAGGTTGTAGCTTTTTATGATATATTTCTGTTTATTATCTTATGAAGTTTATGTAAGTCGTCTTAGCTACCTTTTGGATAGAATATATATATATATATATATATATATATATATATATATATATATATATATATATATATATATATATATATATATATATATATATATATATATATATATATATATAGTTCTCAAAAGTGGGACTGATAAGAATTCTGTTCTGAATAAGTTCAATAGTGTTCATCCGGCAATCAACTTCACAATGGAAGAGGAGAAAAATGACAATATCCTATTTCTTAATGTTCTGTTAGTAAGAAGGTCAGATAGAACCCTGAAGCGAAGTGTTTATAGAAAGCCAACATCAACAGGTCAATATGCGCGCTTCCATAGTGCTGTACCACTCCAATACAAAAGGAACCTAGTGAAATGCTTAGCATACCGTGCCTCAGCTATTTGCTCAGAGGAAGAGTGCGCCAACATCCGTGATCTGCTTAGTAGGAATGGCTACCCAGACGAGTTTGAAACTAAGCACATGAATATTACGAGGGTTAAGGCAACAATGCCAACAGTTCCTAAGAAGCAAATCTCCTTGAAGCTGGAATTTAAGAGTGGTATTGTTAGTGAGATCATCACATGACTCATAAAAAGAGTCTTGCGTAAAGCATTCCCAGCCGCTAAATTGTCTCGCCTTCTAAAGCCGCCCGATTCTAGGTGTAAGCAATAAAGACAAACTGCCTGATTCTGCCACTTCTATGTGCATTTATCAATTCAACTGCTCCTGTGAAGCTAGTTACATTGGGCGTACAATGAGGCAGTTCCATCGTCGAATTTCTGAGCACCATCCATCATGTTTGAACAAGGGACAAATTAGAACTATAATAAGCTCCATACTTGTACACTTAGTTGACATAGGACATCAAGTGGTTACTAGAAAGGCCTTCAGAATCGTCCATCAGATTCCAATTAATTTAGCTCATGGATTACGCACTCGGTTGCTTCACATAGCAGAGGCGATTGCAATCCACCTTCACAAACCTAGCCTTTGTATTCAAAAGAAGTTTGTCCGATCACTTTCATTACCGTGGCCGTCAACAGGATGTAACTTCTAGGTTTACTTTGTACACCTCTTCCCCTTCTTCTTTCGATCAACATTCATATTTCCAATTTTAGTAACTATTGATTATTTACATCATTATTTCCGAAACACCACCACGTGATTGGTAATTTGATTAAATTGTAAACCTATATATTAGTGTAGAGCCCAATATGAAGACCTAAATGAAAAGGAATATATTTCTTCTCTGAATCAGTCTTTTTCTAAATGTCTAAATGGGAATATTCAATATATATATATATATATATATATATATATATATATATATATATATATATATATATATATATATATATATACAGAGAGAGAGAGAGTGACTTGAAGTATGTATGGAATATTCATGCAGTATTTTCTACGGTGAACGTTTTCTCTGAAACATTTGGGTGTTGGCCAATTACAGTGCTGAAATAACTAGGTTTTTCATCCAACGCCTTAGCTATTTCGACTGCTCCGAATTTTGACAGTGTAAAGTTTAGTTTGAATAATTAGTGTTTCTAGTCTGTACATATTGTCACCGTAATTTAGACATCATATTACTTATAAACTATGAAATTTCATATACGTTTTCCGTATGAACATGGGTTTACATGCGGCTAGAGGTACTGTTTCTTGATATCTCCCTTGTCATCTTCACCATAAATCTTTACCTACATTCCATAGATTGTTCGAGCTGATTTGAAAGAACTAGCTGATCTAGATTTGGGTGGTGCTCCTTATGGTTATACACCGTTTTGTGATTCGCGTAAAGAAATGGACGGTTTCCGATTTTGGAAACAAGGTTATTGGGCTAATCATCTAGCTGGTCGACCATATCATATTTCAGCGCTCTATGTTGTCGATTTAACACGTTTTCGTCGGCTAGCTGCTGGTGATCGACTTCGTGGTCAATATCATGGTTTGAGTCAAGATCCGAATAGTTTATCTAATTTGGATCAAGATTTGCCTAACAACATGATCCATCAAGTGAGTCTAACTGTAAACATTTATCTATCCAACCGCTGAATTAAGTGTTTCCGTCATTTTTCAAGTTTCTTTTGAAATTTATAAACTATATTTCACTTGGTAATCGTAAAACGATGGTGAAGTTTATTTTCCCTGAGGAATTCACAAGATTGTACTCGTTTTCCATGCGATGTCGACGTTGCTGAGAATGTCTAACTATACCTCACCATTAAATTTTCCATGTAAAAGACTTGTAGAAGTTCCAAAAATGTCCAGTGAATGCGTTGCGTGTTTGCAGTTCGTTGTCATTATTCTTGGCGTTTACGATATTCAGTGTTATATCGATGTTTTTTTCATGCCCGGAAGATAATTCCTCACGATAGTCACTGCATCGAACTATTTCAACCTTATATCACAGAAACTTAACCGAATCCCATTAAAAAAGCCTCACAAACGAACTGCTGGCTTATTTATCATACGCTAACTGGAATTAAAACAGAGTATGTAACCTAAAGTATAACAGTGAATTACTGTTCATGTAATAGTAGTTGGTTAATTGAATGCCAAAACTGGGATTATGAAACAGTCAATCAGTTCTTATCAAAACAGTGGTAAGTTCTTTGATGTACGCTGTCTCATCAATCACTGTGCATAATGTAACTCTACGACAATATAAGAATTAATTGGATACTTCTAGTCCTCTTTGTATTTCCATTCACTCGGCGATTGTTTGGTTTCCGCACTTATAGATTCTAATCACTATAATGATGCGAAATTTTGTTTATCAAAAGAAGTAGACAGTTGCATGTACTCAAATATCTATGGAATTAATTTCGCCTACTATGATATTGGCAGTAGCAAGTTTGTTTTTATCCAGGAAATGTTTTCTTTTCCAATGACCGTATTATCTAGATTTATAGTCATCTTCTCATTTTACAAAAAAGTAATGAATTTGACTAAAATTGCATAATCACTTTATGCTTGATAGGGAAGGGTCAAAGTGAGTCAAGCTAAGGAGAGCAATTTAAGTCAGAAAAGTTATCTATGCGGGTAAAAAAAAGATTTAAGTACTTTTAATATAAATAGTGAAATGGTAATGACGTCATTTCATTAAGTGTTTGAACAGATGATATTATCACCTCATATTCATCTTTGAATTACCAAACCGGATGATGTTCATCAACGTGTTTCCAGAGAATCTTCTTACACATGACTTTAGGAACCTACTGCTCCACTGAAGGTGCACACATAAGCAGTTTGTCATTATTCACATTATCCAATCAAGTGCAAAACGAAACAGCTGTTGCATTTTGATTATCAGCTGCTGCGCATTCTCTGAGTCCTTAATTCTCAGTAAAACTGTTATAATGGTAGGTAAAAATTGCTATTGTGTGTTCTTACGTATACTTTCTCTATGCTCATGAGTTACCAACTGAATTGAACAGGAGGCGAGAAATTTGAAACCCTTTAGCCAACAGTTTGTTTTGATTTACAGGTAATGCGTTTATACAACTGAATATCATATTTATCTAAAGCATAAAATAAATTAAAACTATACAACAAAGCTGCTTAGGTTACGAAGTGAAGAAAACAGTTAACAGTTTCACTGAAGACCAGTTTCCAATGAAACGGCTTTCTCTACCGAGAAATATTTAGAATCTTTATTCTATAAAGTACTGTAAAAATTACTGTGAGAATAAAACAAAACCTCTCCAGTACTTCAACAAGAATTTATTGATTCACTCTTTTGCTGTGATGTTAGATATTTATAGGCCACAGACAAGAACCTTATAGGGACTGAGTTTAATGTTCGATGTCCCTAAACCATTTTCGACTGCACATATTTTTAAAACTCTACCTTAGGTGCCAATCAAATCTTTACCACAAGAATGGTTATGGTGTGAGACATGGTGTTCAGATGAAAGCTTAGCCCAGGCTAAAACAATTGATTTATGCAATAATCCTCGTACAAAGGAACCTAAACTGACTGCAGCAATGCGTATTGCCCCAGAATGGGTAGATTATGATCGTGAGATCAAGAAATTATGGAAACGTGTATATCCATCCACTTCGGACACTTCTCCAAGCGGTACGACTCCTGTTCCCGAATCTACAATTGCTTCACCCATCTCTAGACCTCCTTCATCAAAGGAAAGTACTTCGGAGACGTCAAAAGTTGGTATGTAATGCTTCGTTCCTATAATATTCATGTTTGAATTGCTAAGGAAAATACGCTTTGGTATCATTACTCATATTTTTAGTCATAGCTAAGTAGGTCGTTGTTTTTCGTTTAACGAGAACTGAAATTATAAGTGAAACTGATATTCTTGAAAAAGCATATCATCGACTATTTGGATGGAAATGTACTTCACTGCTGTTTGATATTCTTCAGTCTATGGCTGCACATAGATTTTATAAGTATGTGTCCCTTAAAACTATGTATTATTTACCAATCGTAATTTCGGTCATTTTATTAGCCTACGTCTGAATTCTGACCTAGACTCACCTGATATTTTGCATATTTTACGTATACTACGTTTTTGTTATCAGTAGTGTAAAATTATTTACAGGTTTTGTTGTCATATTATGAAATATTTGCGCATCATTTATACTATGAACTGACTGTTGGGAATTGAACATGTTTACTATTTTACTTTTTAGTTTATATTATTGCCATTGAAAGCACACCTGATCTGAGACAAGGTTAAATTCACGATCTTGTCCTGCTCACAATTAGCATCATTCAGTGAATGTGATCTTATTCAGTGGTTTCCATTTTCAACCTTTTCACTTGAATTTCCTGTAAGCTATGGTTTCCGAGTAGTGTTTCGAGATATTCAAGTTGGTATTCATCTTGAGTTGACAGCAGTTGGAGGAGCACTGGAACCACTGGACAGTTATTTCGTCCTGGTATGGGGATCGTCAGTAGTATGTACATATGACGTCACCAGGGATCGGACCCAGGACATTCAGGTTCAGCAGCCAGCACGTTGCCACTGAGCTACTGGGTCAGAATCCAACGTTCCATATTTTCTACGTCTGTTCTCAATATAGCGCAATGTCCATCCAATGACGTCGTTGAGTATCTATCCTCATATACAACTTCTTTGGACTCTTTGCTCATGACTTATTGGAACTTCGAAAGTCATCTGTCGAAGCGAGTCACTAATGCACACTAGCATTATTCAGTTTGGTGGTTTGTGGGGATTTGTTTATTGATTTCAGGTTGGTATTCATCATGAACTGACACCGGTTGGATAAACATTGGAAACGAGGGAGCAATGGACAGCTGTTTCATCTTAGTATGGGACTCGTTACCAGTGCACACTCATGACCTCACCTGGGACCTCCAAATTGAAGAAATTTTTTGATTCGAAATCAGACGTGCTTATGAGCATTAAAAATCATCATACACTGCTAGTTTACTTTCTTTGATAATACTTAGTTTGACGTTGAATGTTGTGCTCATGGAGACTGAAGATATCTGAACAGCAGAACTACTAGTTAAATTGAAGGCGTAAACAATCATCCTAGTTTTCCGAAAATTTCACAGTATTTTGTTGGGGTTTGTAAAAGACATTAGTGTTTCTGTAAATTAGGTAGACTTTACAGTTAGTTAAACATTATCCTACTACTATTGTTGATATTCATATAGGTTTTGAATACGTGAATTATTTTGCAGGTGAAGGAAAACACACAAAGTAGCCTGATTGGTTTCTAAGTTGTTCAGTAGTGTCTTCGTCTTTGATGAAATCTTCTTATGAGTTTAATTAGATATTACTGTCATATAAACTTTATTTTTATCTATCATTTTTAGATGATCATGATGTCAAAACAGAACTATAATGCTGTCTCAAAATCTTTTCGGATGCTTTTGTCGCCTTACTTTTCTAGTAATATCCAGTGTTACTTGAATTATTTTATGTACATTGAATGTATGTTAGTATTTGGCTGTGGCTATGTGGAACACTTTTAAGTTTTCGTCCATTCCAGCATGCATGCAAGAGATATGAACTCATCATTATCCCTTCGTATTACTGCTAATATCAGTAATACTACTAGTACTCTGTTGTTTAGTTCAATATGATTACTGTGTATAAACAACGAAAGATATTCGCACACTATCATTTTACTAAACCATTTTCTTTTGCCACTGGTATTCTTTCGTGGCTTAGTCTGTTGATTTTATGGTTCAGCCTGTGCATATCTTAAAATTGTATCCTATGTGCATATTACTCTGTCTAACTGTGAAAGCATCTGTTCATATGTTCTTTTAACAATCATATATACTTTTCTACCAACTCTATTGTATAGTTTGTAATAAAGTTCCCCGATATGTACACATAGTATTTTTGTTAATGATATCAGTGTTTTGGGATATTCTTTCTAGTGTCTAAGAAGAGTAATTAAAGGGCTATTGTGTCATCCCTATGCAGGAATTTCAGTGGCTATTTTTCAAGGTCATATTTTAGGCCTGTTGTCGGTTTGACTTTGTTTTCATGTAAGCTAAGGTTAACGAAGTTCTGTAGGCTTGTTAAAGATATTCCATGCAGGCTTCCACCTACGTAGTCCTCAATGTTTTCTGTGACAGGCGAAATTTGTTTACCTCTTAAGTACCAGAGGTTTATGACTGTGCTTAACTTATCTCCTACTAGAAAGTATACACCACTTACCCTCCTTTCGAATTGAGTCGAAATTTAATCAGAAACCCTATGAACATTCGTACAGTTGGCGATGAGCCACACCTATTGTGTAAGGACTAATGATACTACCTGTCTGCCCAAGCCTCGGTAGGTGTGGTGGGGTTCGAACCAGTGACCCACCGGTTGAAAGTCTTCTCTGAGCCATGGCCTCACATGCTGGTTGACAAATGTTAGGCGGTGAAAGCATGCTTCCGATGCCGAAGGGGCTTGATAAATATGACTAAACCACCTCGAACGCTTAATATATTACAATCCCAAGTTGCTTATGCTTTTTAGGATATAGAAGTAACGAATGAAGTATACATCTGTTCTTCTGATTACCACCCGGCGGTTTTGTCGTCGTTAACTTGATAGACTTAGACTTAGGATTTTCACTGTGTGAATTGTAAAGGCAAATATACACTACAATTTGAGCATCCAAAAAGTATTAAAGTTGATTTTAAAAATGATAACATTTTTTCGCGTAATATTGTTTCATATATGTGGATTGTTAGAAGTCACTTTATGCAAAAATATTCTTCATCAAGATCTCTGAAAACCAGACAATATTGGTCTTCGAAATCTTATTAATTCTTGATAAAAATTATCTTCAAACTGACTGGTTCTTCACAAAATACATACTTGAACACTACCTAGCGGTGACCTTATGAAGTCGAACAAGGTTCCATCACCGAAATTGAAATTGTGCTTTAGAGCAGTACGGTAAGTTGAATTAACTGGCGTGGGGAAATGTTGACGATTAGGGAAGTGATGGCAACTAGTCACTTCTAAGACCGAATTCTTTATTTCAGTCTGATAGTAAATACTCCTGACTAGTTGTAAACATGGAATACATAGCTGATAGCAGTACATAGTGATGTAGCAGTTTTTTACTACTGTACCTTTTTGGACCTATGGAGATGCATATATTCTTAGTTGGTGTACTCCGTGATAGTTAAGGAAGTAAATATTTTAGGTTCAATAAAGCTTTCGTAAGATTAGACCTTAAGTACTGCAAAACCTACAAATTTTGTTAGGTATTTATTTCAATTAAGATTAATTCGCTCAACAGAGATACGTAAAAGTTAGTAGTCAGTAGACGCTAGTTGGTTAGTTATGTTGTTTAGTCAAATAATGAAGTCAAGTGAAAGCGCTTACATGAGTTTTATTCCAAGCTTAATTCAATGACTGAACATTCTGAGAAAATTAACAGAGTACTAAGTTAACCAACTATTTATTCTTCTTGTTTCAGTGAAAAATGCGGTCATTCGCAGCCTAAATATTAAACTAATGTCAGATTAGTGTCCAGTGGTTCTGCTTTTTATCTGGTATCATAAAAAATATCAGTTAAATATATTTCATATTGAGAAAGAGTTATCACATTTTGACACTGCTGTTTGAATTACTGATTATTTCAGAGAACTAATGTTATGTACACTGATCGATCTACAGAATCTTGTCATCCTTGAGCTACTCTCCTGATTAGTGTGACGTATTTATCTTACGTTTTAGACAAATAGTGATTTCTAATCTATTATTTACTGATACGTTTGAAAAGGTGAACAAAATGACGCTGATAATCGTTGTTCATCGCTTATTAATTTTACATTGTGTGCCTGTATTTTCCGAAATCGAAGAAGTGAGAAATTTACGCAAAGCCACAGCCGTACTTCCAGCCCTTATAAATATCAACATTCCCGTCACTGTCAGTTGGTAATCCTTATTAAGTCAGTAAAAAATCCGCGAGTAGTATCTCATTTTATCCGATAGCCACTGCTTTGACATGTTGGTTGGCCCTGCATTTCTCGGTGACCTATATTAGTTGGAACAATTGCTTTTTGTGGCCCTCTGAATAATATCTGTTAAATAGTGATATGATTAGAAGCAGTTGCTGTCTAAGTGTGAATACTTTACGCTATTGCCGAGATCTGACTGTGAGGTCGGGGTATGATATCACTGTGTTTACTGTGGAAAGATATTATTCAGTGCGGACACTATCTTCCCTCGTCGCTTATGAAATGTCTATATCTAGTGCTAAGGAGGTTTTGTAGTTTACACCAAACAGGATCAGTTCCAGTTTTTCAAAAGGCATTTTATAAGTCTCAGACAGGTGTCCCTTGTGCTCTGCGGTCACATACTCAGGTTGTGAAGACTATCCTTATGAATCCGCTTTCTTTTTCAGATACTTCAAGAAAACGTAGCCTGTTATGATGTAGAAAGTGGCTTTACGTTTCTGTCAGCACTGAAGTTCCTTCCCATCTCTACTAACCTTGCATAGTGTTGCCCTCTGATTGTTCTTCATACTACACTTCTAATAATTTCAACGCGCTCTAAACTGCACATCGGAGCTTTCAGCATCCATATCCTTTAGGGGGTTCGGAGAGCAAGCCTCACTAACCAGAATTGTGGCACCTCGGACCATGGATGTATGTCGTGGTACACGCCATTAGGCATTGCATCCTAAGGGGGTAGGCGCTCTTTTCGACTGGATGGCGCACTGAAGACTCAGAATAGCGAAATTCTTTATTTCCTCGTAATTTGTCTTTACTCTCCTACTGACCGCAATTCGAACGAAGTGAAGATCGGTTCTGCTGCAAGCTGATCGTTCATATTTTTAGTCAACAGGCGATTTCAGTGCTCAACGAAGAAGGGTTTACCGCGGAGAAAGGTAAGAAGCTGCCATTGGATCTTTGCAGCAACTTCTAAATTTTAATACAGTGCTGCTGACTCCGAAGATATTGGCGTGCAAAAGCAGCTTGAATGTTGACTGACAAAGAGCCTACAAAACAAACATTGGGAGTGGAGGATGAACAGATGGAATTGGCGACGTCGATGGGTGATAGTAGACAGTTGTTTAGATTTGTTGGAGAAACTTCCAAAAGTATCGATATTTAGTGAGACCGTAACGGAGAGAGATGCATCTGTTATCCACTGATTGAGATGACTAAAATGATTGGCGGAACTCATCAAGGAACGATTTGATTGATTTTCAGTTGATCTTAGTTTGCCCTTTATCTAATCATGGCCTAAATGGAGTATTAGTAATGTGAAACGAAGAGAGGAATCTACGTATGATGGGCTTGTGCCGGTGATGTTCGAGCATTGAGTTGGACTAACTGACTCAAGTTTTAACCTGTATATGGGAACTGGATATGATCTCCTCTGTGTATAACCTAAGAGCCCATGGGACCTTTAGTTGAATCGGGTCACAAACGGTCTTTTGGTAAGTATGAGAATTTGATATTTTGCTTTTGAATCCGACTATGAATCCCTATTGCAGGCGTCGGCATGCCACGAGGGTGAAGGAGAGTGCTATTTTTGAACCGGCCTTTTCTAACCTCCCATCCCATTGGGAAGGTAACATCACTGTGGAACTGTTAATCTCCCAGAGGAAACACCTCACTGCTGTCACATCCCCATCCAGTCGGGACTACGAGTTCGCCCTCAGACTCCCATCATAGTGAAGCTATATACACTATAGTGGTAACTGCTCTTTATCTTACCGCGGTCTAAAAGACCTTTATGGTAGAACCTCGAGGGAACTAGCTTCCCATCATCAAAGCTCGTTGTATCATTATTACATGCACGTTAAGGTAGAAACTATCGGTCAGGAATTTGTTATTTACTGTGAAGTGCTACTTGTTATGTGATTGATGGCGTCGAAATGAAGGAATGATGTTATCTGGAAGTAGTTATCTTGTGAATGACATATTTTTGACTTATATTTCAACATTAGCGGAAAAATATGAACTTATCCCCAATATCATTTCGGCCTAATATTCATCGATCGACTGGATGAGTCGAAGTAATCATTTGAAGTAAGAGTTTGTAGGATACTGTTTTACGGTGAGAATTATCATGGAATCAAGCGAAAAGCAGAGCTGTAATAAAACATAACACAATATAGTATTGATTGGATGCTGTAGGTGAGGCATACTAATCGGCGTCTTTCATCCGTCAAATAATATATATATATATATATATATATATATATCTGAGAATCAGCTTGTTTCCTGTTTAACTCCAGATTCTGAAACGACATGATTTAACTACTACCCGCAAAGGGGTAACAGATTTCTCTACTGTGATGATCAAAAACTCTTACAAGTGGTATTTTGCATACAGCTGAAGATAACCTGTGTATGTAAAATAATACGGTTTTGAAACTGTAAGACAGTATTCACTTCGATTTCACCATTGTTAAATGATGGATGACAAGTCACTTGATGAGGTTGTGGAGTTTCCCTGACTATGGTAGTCGAGACACATACTGCGAATACTTAGATACTACCTTCCGAAACCTATGAAGTTAGCAGAAGTAAGCTAGATGGAAGCAAACAGTGACTTGGTCAAGACTTGTTATGATTTTATGAAGTCTCTGACTGTTACTGTCAACCTAGTCGAGGTATGTACGTAGTCTAACAGAGATCGTTAGGGCAGTAGTATTTGATGATTGGACACTTTGGTGATATGGTCCGAAACAGATCACGATAGCCTATATAAATACATAAAATGAACATTTTGATGATTCATATTTACTTACTTCTCATCTTATACACCTTTAGTTATCTTGGTGTCATTTTGTTTATTTCCCCTCTTTTTTTGATAAAATGAACTGTATCCATTCCTACCGATACACTTTTGTCCAAGGCCACATGTCGATAT